TTTTTTTTTAGGAAATTCGTAATGAATTAGAACGAAGAAAAGAATTGGACCAACAAACAAGACACCAGTCAACAACATCAGAAATGTCGTCCTTACTGCGAGAACAATTCCAGAGAGATCAAAGTCCGTTGAATGGCGCTATGACAAATTTAGCAATAATAATTGGTTTTGCAGTATTTGCCTACATTGTTAAATATGTCCTCCGAAATATAGCGTGGGAATGAATTCAATTCTACTATGATGATTTAGCAACAATAATAGAATCTGCTACAAGTACTGGATTTCTAAGATGTGTTTCATTTTAATAATTGCTATAAAGCGTTGTTGCGGTTATTCATCCGTACTTGAGCTTCTATTTTCTCATTTAATCCGAATTTCTTTTCAAATCTCCAGTTTTTCAGTTCAACTTGAATTAAGGTTATCATTAACATCTTCATATGTAATGTGAATAATTTATCATTTGGTGACCAATATATGAGAAAATGTCACTAAGTATTGACTAAAAATTGTATGATGAGTTCTTCCATAAGAACCGGTTTACCAAAGATAAGAGCCTCTCAAGTGTCTTGCTCGAAGCTTACACCGATTACCTCATTCATCCTTTTTTTTTTTTGGTTTTTTTTTTTTTTTTTCTTCATGAAATGAATTACTTGTGGAGATTGCACATTAAAATTATTTCATGTACCTTTACTAATATTTGTTCAGTATAAAGCAAGGCAATATTATGTTTTTTAACACTGTTATTCCATCTAATGTCTGTATATTAATGAGAAAATATATTTTAATTAATGAATTCAATTTTAATAATTGTGTCAATCACAGTCTTATTGATTATTGGAAACCTACATAGAAACCTATATATTTTCAATTATTCAGAGGATAAAATTCACGCAGCGCTCTATAGTATTTCTCCACAGAAGCACATCAACTGATTAAATTTGACAATGAATAAAGCGTTGTACGTGGCCACTCGGTGCGAAAGATACTTACATATATAGTGGCTAATCCAATCCAATCATTGATTTCTATGCATTCATGATGATAAGCACTGCTGCATTTACAATAAAAAATTGTTGCTGGAATTTTTAATCTCAATATATTGCCATTATCAATAGAAAGAGGAAGTAATTATAAATATTACGTTGTTGAATGGAGAAGGAATAGCAATGAGGAAAAGTGGTTTAAATCTAGAAAAACATTGCGCTGAAGAAGCAAATTGTAATTTATTCAACCGCTGAATAACAGGAAAGTTTCCCCTAAATCGAGAAGACACTTGAACCGGTCACACACAAGAAGGCCACCCCCTTCCACATCCTCAACACGCCTACCAATGTATAAATCACCGAGATGCAGGCGCCAGAAGACAACTATGGGTCTGCTGAGGCCGCCCTGTCCAAATAAGATACACGTGTGTACCGCAAAGGGAGTAGAGACTACAACTTGAATTCTTTTTCTTTTTATTATTATTAACCAGTCAGTAATTTTAAACTCATTAAAATTGCAATTTTTAAAATTTTTACATGTAAACACTCCTTGTATTTTTCATATAATCCATTTTCCATTATCTACGAGATCGATCGCAATCGAGCAAGGTGCTTCCAAACATTGAAAAAAAAATAATTAATAGGAAACCACCGAGAATACGTCCGGTGTGTATAAACGTCTTTGAAATGTTCTTCTAGCATTCGAGGACCGGCACATCAATCGGAAAAAAATATAACAGTTTTTTTCAAAAACTGAGACCATTATTTTACACACTATGGTTCAAACTTTGGGGTCCCCCTATGAGGGGAGTATAATCAACTGGTTTGGAGATGAGCTCTCATTACAGCAATTGGAAAAAGAATAAAAATAATATTATATACGACAGTCATCTTGTATAAATGAAAAACAATAAAACTACACGGATTAATGTTTGCTTTGAATATGGCTTCTCTTGAATTTTCAAAATTGTAGATGCAGAGGATCAATATGAACCTCTCTGGCATTTATTGTTTTACAATCAACGGCTATTTATAGTTGAATTTGAATAGTATTTTTGGTTCAATGCAGGATTCAGTAGTATTACATATACACACTATTCATGCTGTTTAATTGGACTATGCCTTCCTTTGACATCTCTCGGAACAATAGCTTACCATTGATCCGTCAAATCAACATCGTAGATTCACCGCTTGCATTCACTGTGTGGCTGATTTTTTGTATATAATATAATTTGAATAATACACTTTTTCATTTTGACATATATACATGTCTTTTTGTTTATTGCAAATCTCGTAACGTATAAAAAATACTGTACAATTTCCTTTTTCTTTCTTCTTATTCTTCTTCTTCTTCTTCTTCAAAGGAATGGAAGAGAAAATTCACAATATTGCATAAACTTAATCTACATTGTAACTATGTACAAATATCTACATATATATTTATTTACAATTTAATGCCTAAATGATATTGTTCCAATTTTTATTATTCAGATAATCCTTCACTCTGTCCCGACAAAGTTATCGCAACATCCGACATCATTACAATCATTATTTTCCAAGATAATCGTTTTGATTTTACGCATCTTTATTTAATATGGTGTGTGATGGTGTGTGAAACTGAAATAATGTACCCCATAAATATTTAATTTTTATATTCAATTGTGAAGCAAAAACTTTTTCATAGGAAAAATAGTTGACATCTTTGGTGAATTAACTGCATGATTCAAGGCATTTAAAGGCACTTGAAAAATGTAAACTAGGACAAAAAATGACTGTGAAATAAATAATAAACTCTTTGCTAAGGCCAGTTAAAAAATATTATTACCTATCACACGTATATTTAATACAAAAATGTTTTCTCTGATCTGTCTAACATAAAGCCTTACAATATCAATATTTTACCCCCCGCCTTAAAGAAAATGTAGCCCAAGACATTTTCTGTATTATATTCTAATAGCATATCCAAAAAGATACACAATTAGCAGAATGTATTTTCTTACATATGTGTCAGTCATTTCTCATTTTTGTCGTATTAATGAAATAACATAGAAAACTTTATAATTAAATTGCCGGGCTATGCTAGTTCTACTTGCCATAAAAAGAAACTAAAATTTGAAATATTCACACGGTTCTCTTGCGCTCAGAATCTTTAAGATTGACGCGAGTGTGAATGAAAGAAGAGACAAGAGAATAACAAAAAAAGAAAAAAACCTAAATACCAAAACCTCACTATGCGTAACGTAGAGGGGAAACGGAGACGGCCGTCTATGCTGGAAGGCAGTCATCTTGAGAAAAAATAATATTTTGCCCACACCGACCGTATATGTATAACCGTCTAAACTATCTTTTGCTTCTGTTTAAATTTTTCATTTTTTTGCCTTCCCTTTTTCTACTGTTTGTAAATTCTTACAATAATACAAAGTAAAACACATATACTATGTTTCTGACAATTCCCCCAACCGGACCATCGTGCTCCTTTGTCTCATTCACGCAGTCTCTCTTTTCTTCTTGATTTACCACGGGGGTGTAGAGAACGTCTTTAGGAAAGCCCAGGAATAATCGTGTCTATTGTGTCTGGAGTGCCCTAGGTTCACCAGTATCGACAAATTTCCCCATTTCATTAGGGAATGACCCATGAGGTGGCCACTTGATTTAACGATTAAGAGATTTCATTTGGACTCACAATTATGATATTTTCGATCCAGCGAAAATAACAAAATTGCACATAATATATTTATTTCTGATTTCTCTTCAACTGAATGTTCAAATTTAGCCTCTAATATATATTTTTTATAATTCATCAAATTTTATTGGAAGAATACTTAGAGATTGGCGTTCCATTCGCTTTCCACCCGCCACATGCTGAAGGCGTGCGAAAGCCGTTCGTGGATAACGTAACTGCATGATGTCGAGCCTCCTCCGATCGTTTGACCTATCAACAAGAAAAATCTGAAATTAAATGACAATTTAACACATCTCTAGATCATGTGTATTGGACAAATAAAAAAAAACTATCAATGACTATTTTTTTTTTATTCTCTTTGTCCCAATTTATTCGAAAAATATCTTCAATTTATTTGTGCTTTGAAAGTAAATGAAAAAGAAAAAGAATTTCCGCACATGTGCGCAAAAGTCCCATGCAATGGAAATAATTGTCGGTATTATTATTATTACTACAAAGGATTTAACTAATTACTGAAAATTTCGGGGGCCAGCCTCAAAAATTTCGTGCTGTGACGGCAGTAGGTCGCGTACCACCTACATATACAGTGATTTTTCTTCTGGATTCAAGAAAAATAGTGTATAAAGCACACATAAAAGAAAGTGAAAAACATTTCAATATTCAGTATTTCTTCTCTCTGTTAAAGCCCGCCACATAATTCATGTTATCATCATAATTTACGAGGAGCAAAATTAATATTTCATCTTTGGAAGAGAGAAATTTGAATTATTAAAAAAAAATAAGATTCTTACTGTTTTCTTCCACACTGCCACGATTTTCAAGGGCTTCAATAGGGCAGCGTGCGATGAGTTGATTGAGAAAGTCAATATATCGCGTTGCAAGCCTCAATGTTTGAATCTTGCTCAATTTATCACTGGGAAGAGTTGGTATGATTTTTCTCAGATTTGTAAAAGCTTCATTCAAACTCTGAGTCCTCTGTCTCTCTCTGACATTTGCCATAACTCGTTGTGTCTGAAGATCTTCAAAGCTTCCAGTATTTTTACGTCGAATTTTAGCCTTGCAAGATGCAGTTGAAGATTCGATACTCTCACTTTCAGAATCATTTCCATTATTATCGTAACTCATTATTTTTCTCTTTCTTTTTCCGTTGGTTTTTTGCAATTTAATTCCATTGTAATTTCTCATTGCTACTGATGAAGTTTCTCCTCCATGGGCGGATAACATTGAATCCTGTACAAGCTCTTTGTGGATAGCCCTCGATGAATTTATATGAAAATCACTATGAATTGTTGGTTTATATTCAATTGGAGAGTCACTTGTTTGTTCAAATATCGTTAGTCTCGGGGATTGACTGGAGGAAATTTTCTCGCCCCTAGCGCCTGGTGATTGATAAATGCCCGAGGTTGGCGATGAAGCCGGAAGATAAATATTATGCTCATTTTCTCGGCTATGCTCAGAGTGAAAAATTGGCGATTTTCTATCGTAATCGAATGTAGAGATATCTTTATCGTACGGATTGTACTTTAGCTCAGCTTGCTGAACATGGTGGAATCTACTCTTCTCTTCATCATAGTTATCATAGAACTGATAGTTATTGGCAAGTGGTTGATATGCTTGGAGTGTAGTATGTGTAGTATGGGCAAAGTCTGGTAGGCCTCCTCGGTGCTCCGACGGACTACTAAGATCCATCAGATTGCTCGGTGAATAACGCTCGTAATGGTTAGGTGAATTGCTAGCTGAGCTACCTGCGCTATGAGGAATTCCAGAACTATCAGCAGCAACAACGTAGAGATTCTCAATGCCTATTTGAGTCGGACTGACTTGTTGTGCTTGCATCATGCCGCCGATGGTATATTAATGTCTTTATTATCACTTATTTGCACTTGTACAAAACAAAAAAAACAAACAAACAACACAAAAATATCTTTTTTTTTCCGTTAAACAAATAAATAGAATAGACATGTAGAAAACCAAGATGCACTCGTGGATGAGGTGGTTGGCTACCTGTGATAATACTCTATGTCCCTTCACTGCCAGCCTCTCGACTCGTCTGATCGCCTTTTGGCTAGGTATCCATTGACTTGACAGAGTGATGCTCGATGCTCCAACCAGTCCAAGCCCGCCTCTTTGCCATTGCCACGATGCCTTAGGCCCCACCCCGGCATTTTCTTTTATCCCCATTTACTGTCAGCGCGTCTCCACCCACCCACGCCAGTGTGGAGCCTCAAGGCGAGACGAGACGGCCAACAAAATGCTGCTTCCTCCATCAATGGGAGAGGGGGATAACGTTCAATTGTTATATTATATGAAATGTAACATTTTTTGTTATTCCATCGGAAAACATCAATTATCAATTTTTCAGTCAGTCACATATATGTATTAAAAATGAAATTGAACGAGTTTGAGAAATTTAGTATCTATAATGAGAATTTTCTCTTTGATGATCAGTCCAATAATAATGATTGTTATTTATGATGTATGGTGAAACGAAATTGAGAACTTGATATTGGAGACCAGCCAACTCCCTTTTACCCGTCATCATCCTATCAATTCATCCGAGAATTATATATACTTCAACTTTTTTTATTTATAGAAAGAATATTTTTTCATCGGATCAATAATAAAATATTTGGGGGAAAAATTTTTCTCCAAAATTCAGGTAAATTTCGTGGGACTGCCCCCCCAGTAAGGGTAAATGGGCCACCAGCAAGGCAATTAGTACCTGGGCGGAAAGTGGATATACAATAAAAGGGGGGTGCCGCCCGTGTGATTACCCTCAAACTATTGGGGAATTCCCAAAAAGTTGCTTCTCCATAGGGAAATCCACTGAGCAAGATTCCCCACTCAATTTTTTATTAAAAAAATTAATAAATGAGATATTATATATATATAATAAATGCATCTTGGCATATATCAACTGCGAGCTTTGGCACAGGTTTCCAAAGGCATGAGAAAATTTTCACCATGTGTTGAACACACGGTAGCAGCGGGTCCTCTCCATAGGTACTGTAAGATTGTTATATCCTCGCCCTATCCACATCGACTTGAACGTGTCTACCACTTGTGAGAGAGACAGGACCTTATTTGCCACTTTCCAACATGTGTCGCTCACCATGCAGCAACTTTTATGTGTTTACAGCACCCACCCGAAATTTTCATTTACAACCGTTTCAACGTTTGCACATGTGTCCAGGGAAAAAAATTTTCAGCTCTACCTTTTTCTTCCGAGAAAAAAGCATTGAAATAATAATTTTTCATATATCATCAAATTTTCCATACAATTTAAATTAAATTTCATTATTAAAAGATAATTATATGATAGTATGTATCAGGATGAGAAATGACAAAAGTAGCCTACCTATTGTTTTCAGCGTAAATATTTTTCCAGGCCACCTAATTCTTTTCATCCCTCAATGATTATCGCATTTGACTTTTGGTACAATCCGGATTAACTAGATTTGCCAAAGTTTTCTAAGCAGCTACCGTTCATGTATTTGAACTGAGGATAAGCTGGAGTTGACAAACTTTCTTGGTGGATTTTTTTTCTCTTTCTCTCTCTTTTTGTTTTTTTCAGAAAATTTCATTTCAGAATGTCAATCAACACGCAGCAATCAGAAAAGAAGAGGACCGTTAATTTTAATTTTCCAAAATTTGTTCGTCCTTCGGTGTTAAAACGAAAAAGACCAAAAAAAGTCACATGTTGAAGAAGAAGAAAAAAAAATAAGAAGAGGAGGGGAAGCTGACAGCAAAGGACCGGGCACGTGCTACCTGCATTTACGTGAAGGGCTGCATACCTATCCTGTCGACCAGATTTTGCCAGCCCTGGCCACCATATGTGCGCCATGCTTCGCGAGGAATTTGACAAACACGTGATGAGGGCCAAATGGTACGAGTACACCTTTAATGAGATGCTAGTCACGTCGAGTAATCCACTTGGAACGACCATGTGTTTCTTTTACTATTGCCGATGAAAAAATATCTGTTATCATTTCAATTGAAAGATATACACGTGAAATAATTTTCAAAAATATTATAAAAGCAAAAGGCAAAGGCAAAAGCAATAGCAATAGCAAAGGAGCAGGGAGATGGGGAAATTTCTTTGAAAGAAGTAGGACAAGGGGAATAATTTTGGAAAAATCCCGCTGGTACCTACTTGGCCGCCGCTCGTGTCGTATACCTGCCACCCACTGTAAAATTTGAGGACCCACTTGGACGGATTATGGAGACTTTATTGGCCGGGTAATCCACAGGAGAGTGGCCAGGACTATAGTCGCTGTATTTCCCCAGCATATTATTTTAACCACTATACACGCACCCCAGACCCAACGGTACAAACTAAATAGCCCTTTCAACTAAAGCCACCGTTTTACAAATCTTTTTTTTCTTTCAATCCCCTAATATTTTCCAAACAACTACAAAACAACTTAATTGAAAGCGATACTGCAAGATAATAATACAAATTTCCGAGGAGAGAGAAATTACAATCATATAGTATGATAACGTGCCAATGGAACAAGAAATAGCTATCGCATGTGGGGAACTCCCCGACAGAACAGGTAAGGGAGGGTGCTTACCTTTGACTGTTATAGGCACTGTTAGGTAGCTCCAGCTCTATAGCTCTATTGTTATCTTGCTGGTGGCTGTTCCGACAAATACGGCGGGTGCGGCTCTTGAAATAATTATTCCTCAAGTTGATTCACATCTTGGCGATTTCTTCTCACACACATGTTGGAGCTATCAAAGTTTCATCAACTTTTCTTTTTTCTTATTATTACTATTATTATTATTATTATTATTATTATTATTATTATTGTTATTATTGTTATTACCAATATGATAATTATCATGATTATTGATTATTTTTTTATCTTCTCATTTTGCTTTAGAAATGTCGGTTGTTTCGCATGTCAAAAAATCATCATCCATGGTGGTCTACAATCTTCTTTCACACACCCTCCTTTTTTTTTTTTTTTTTTTTCTAAAAAAGCAATGAAAGGCGTGAAAAAGGAAATGATGAAATCAAATAAACATTAGAACGAAAAGCTTTCACCACATTTCCGTTGTCGTGCTACTTGTATATTGTTTCAATTCACAGGCGTATTATCCAATCGTTTTATACAAGGAAATTGTCTAAATGTCTTGTCATCCAAGTTTTTTTATGATCTCTGCGGCAACATGTGCACACCAGACTAGACCTCTTTCATGGCGAATTGTGATTTCAACGTAAACTCTACTATGTCATAAAACCACCAAGTTTAAGTTGACATATCGCTCCGCCATTTTTCCCCATTAATTAATGAAAAAAAAAAAGACTGAAGATAATAATAAATCAATTAAGTTGACCTTCAAGTCATTCATCATCAAAAAAATCATTAGAAATTGGCAAAAATCTAAGGAATTCCACTTGAATCCTAATATTATATTTTTCATCGAATTTTCTACAGAGATATCACTAGATTATTCTATTAAAATCTTTCATACGTACTAAGTATGAAAAAAAAACAAAAAAAAAACAAGAAACAGAGATCTCCAGTGTTGCGAGTGTTGCATTGTATTTCATTGCAACGTATAGATATAGGAAAGATCCACATGCAGGTACAAAAGTTTTGTATATTAGTATATTGTGCATCAAGGGCGGAAAGTCAAATTTTTCCCGCCCGAGGTGCATATGATATTTTTTTTAACACGCCTGCAAAGAAAAGTTTGTAAAAGATAATATCAATAAATAATTCACAAATGATTCATTCTAAGACAGGTAGCGGCGAAATTTCACTAAAATGTCGACAGCGATAGACAGAGTTGAAAAAGAGGAAAAAGTAACTCGATCCGTGGAACATATGGAAATTGATCAAAAGTACCGGAGCATGCATGTAAGACAGACTATATGGGTGTACTTTGAAGTGAGACTTTTTACTCGATTCTGTCATGCGTCTAGCATTTTAATACAAGTCCATTTTCACAATTAAGTTTCACCTGACAAGATTTAAAACATTCTTTGTGCTGCTATATTGAGGTCGACAAGACGTTCACATCCGGGAGACTGGGAAAACAGCAAAACGGCAGCTTCTCTTCATTTTCGTAGCAAAGAAAAAACAATGAGATTCAAAAAAAGAATGCAATTTTCAGGTGTTAATCTATTGTTCCACGAATTTGCATAATATTACTAGTATGTACTTTCGTGCCTACATATTGACTTGACAATAATTTTTTGTTTTTTTTTCCTTCTTTCCCCCCGCAGATAAATATCAATAAGAATTTCGTCTTTAATTTTGACATGACAATGCGCCAATGAAGGAAATCAAATGAAAAATTAATAATTAGAGGACAAGACAAAATGCTTTTAATGACACGCGTTTACGTAAAAAAGCCCCCTGCAGAGGTTGATCGGGGGGCCTCAACCGACGACGAGCTGTGTGAGGCCCTTTTTTTTTCCCCCCCTCGAAAGTGAACCCTCATGCGTATAATCCCCTCCTATCCCTGTTCAAGGCTTTTTGAACATAAATTCTTGGAACACTCACTGAGAGAAAAGAGCAATATGGAGCCCTGTGAATTTTCAGGGGACTCCGGAATGTCATCCGTGATGGATGCGAAAGCAGTGACGAAAGATTCACGGACCAAATTAAATTTCAATTAAAAATCCAGAGTTTTATTTATTTATTTATTTATTCATTGTTTCAAAACCATCTTAACAACCTAATGTAAAAGGAGTGAATTTTACTAAATGCCAAATTTTTCGCATGCCATACGGCAATTTATCGCACTTATAATGTGAAAATAATCCATAGTCCAATTTTTCATAATTTTTCTCTACTGCATTTGAGACATGCTGTTGAAGAATTCAATAATTGGTCAATTAGCAAAAATATATGTTATAATTCACTCTTTCCAGTGATTTCAAATTATAAAAACAAATATTAATTTATCTATTTTCACTCACTCTCACCGCCATTTTTACTTTCAGAAAATGTTGTTAGCGAATGGGATGCTGCGAAAGATCATTCAACGCTGGATTGGTCCAACTTCTGAACAGGTATCGAGCAGGTGAATGCAAATGACTACGCCCCTTTTTAAAACTGCACCTGTTATTCCCATGAAAGCATCCACGTGACAATTATGGTGAAACTTCAGCTGTGTATGATAACACGAGCAATACGAAATTTGAAATAAAGCGATTTGTAGATAAGCGATTTGTTCCAGATGCTGGTAAGAGCCCATTTTTCATTTTTATTTTTATTTTGTAAGCCAAGAAATCTTCTCTCGGGCTTTATGTTTTACTCTAGAATGAATTCTTGAAGCTCTGGAGCGCGGTGTCCTTGATCCTAACGAGCCAGAGATCTCATGTGACACGCTTCCGGTTATTCCTTTAGAAGACAAATTTAAGATATTTCTTTCCTCTTTTTCATGCTCTTTAAAATTCTTTTAAATTATTATTGTATTATACTATTGTTTTTGTTATTAATTTTTTTTTTCAAGTCTGAAAAGTCGGCAAGTGTAATTTATATCATACTAAAAGGTTAATATATTCATTAGAGGCATGTTGGTAATTTCTTTGCTATGAAATAGAGAACAAAAAAAAAAAAAAAAAAATTCTCTATTTCATAGCAAAGAAATTACCAGCTACTCATTTTATTTTTCTTTAGTGCTTCTCGTTCATATGCGTGAGTCTGAAAACGAATGAGAATAATTGTGCTACATGTCAGGGTCCAAAAAAGGTCCTAGATTTACAAGCAATTGTGACGTCAAGTGCATTACTATCTGAGTCGTTTCAAGTCAAAAAACAACTCGAAAAGCAATTAATTAAGCAATTAATTAAATCCGTGATTCGTTCATTTGATATTCCCCACTTTTTCTATGTATCAAGTTTTTTTTCTTGTTCCGCACCGTTGAAGAGTTGACCGCCACTCTAACGAAATGTAAGAAAAAAAATTTGAAAAATATATCTATGGTGCTTTCCGTTCTTCATAAATCTTTCTCTTCACTTTTGGGGCGCGACTGTTTTCTAAAATGCGCGCGCGTTATTACCTATAGCACGCTACAGGAATAGGTTTTTTTCAACTTTTTTGTTATATATAAGTGTATACATGCACTTGGCAGCCGTCACAAGAATCATTGAGTGGCGGGTGAGAGTTTTTTATCGACAATAAATCTCATATATTCTCATATGTTAAATGTTCGTATTTACGTTGAGTAAAGGAATTTACAATTTTTCAGGTCTATTTCGCCACGGGAAAGACATGTACACAAGTGAATATTTTCTTTTTATATAAAGGAAGAAGAATGGAAGGAATGAAGAGAATGTCAACTTTGTGACGACTTTTCGTTGCAATTCTCTGCGATAAAATTGGAAAAAAAGAGGCCGTCAGAGCATCAAGAAAGATAAGTTTGGAGCACTTTTGTCATGTGTGAATAGAAATATCGTCTCCACCCACATAATGCATATCTTTGCTTGAACTTATAGCCTTTTCCATCGAATACGTCTTTCCAATGGAGGAAGACCTGTAATATAAGGGTCTTCCAATATTTACGGACAAATGTCTCATGAATGAGCTAGATATATGAAAAGATTGAAAAAAAAAAAAAAAAATTGTGCATTTGCTAGAAAATTTAATTGAACTTTTTTCGATAATTCTGTTATTTTTATGATCATGTGCAATAGAATAGATTTTATAGAACAACCATTCATGGATTAAAATTTTCTGATACAATTTAATCAATTGAAATATTTTTCATAAAAAATTGTCGGAAGAAATTTCACAAGTTTTTTTCTCTTCTCAAAAAATTGTTGGAAAATTTCAGCCTGCCAATTTCTAAGCAAACAATTTAACTAAGCAAACAGAACATATTGTGCAGATAGATTGATGAAAATCTACCAACTTTTCGTACTAATAATTTTTTTCATTCAACATTTTTGTAAAAAAAAGTAAATGAATAAAAAATTAAAATACATAGAAATTGCAGAATTTTCAATAAAAATTGAATAGAAATGAAAACAAATTCCGCGCAAATGCACAAAATTTTTATATCAAATTTTTTGATTTCAACTTATTTATATTTATCTATATTGGAAAATAATAACGACTAAATCCGAGAAAAGTGTAATGAGTTTTGGTAACGGAAATTAGTGAGCGACAAGGGGCTAGAATTTTTAATTATCCAACTGACGGAAGTACGAATCATTTGCTCAAACATCCGTTGATAATGTTTAAAAATGAATTCTCCATATTCTACATATATATTTGTCTATTCAACATAAATACTCCACATATGATGATTGAGATACCCTGAATCATTAGGAACATATATTTTACCTCCACTCTGCATTTCGATCATCACTGAAGTTGAGAATTTAGCATGACAGTGGCATACAACTAAATATTAACTTTTTTCGCAAGGGCCACCAAGAGCAAAGTACTATAGCAACAAGTTTATGTATGTGTTTACACACATACACACACAACATGCCGCAGCTGCCAGTTAAATCCGGTTCACATGACGTCTCGGGTCACTTCCTCCTCTTGTCATACTCTTCGCGCCATTCGTCTTTTCTTCCTTTTGTCACGTTCATTATCTTTTTTTTTCTTTTTCAGTATATATTTTTTACTGTCCCGGCTGAATTACGTCTGAACTCAGTCTCAGCTTATATGAAGGAGAAATAAAATCAATAAAATTCGGTCATTCACAGGAGTGAATGGAAAGGAGTGGAAAGAAATTAAGCATTAGCTGGACACATAGTTAAAATGAAAAACACTGCTTCCATTCATCACTCTACTCGACTTGACCCATATTCGCAGAATCGACTTGTCTGTATTTGTCGGTATTCTATAGAATTTTTTTTATTTCCTTCCCACGCATTGCCTAAACATTATTTGAGACTCGTCTTTTCATTTTTCAAGTCACCGACAAAGACCAATTGCCTTTTTTTGCTGCTAATGTAACATTTTCCTTTGCGTTCTTTTTTTTTTTTTTTCATTGCAACTAAGTTTTTCAAGCTCCAAAAATAGTCCTAGATTGTAGGGTATTGGGAGGAAACTGAAGAAGTAGCGTGACGACAAACCAACACTTTTTTCATTTTTTATGTTCCCCCTTTTTGTCCTCTCCCTCGTGTGTGTTTGTATGCACCCGGACCGGCAGCATATCCCTTGACAGGGCTTGTATGCGCTAACGTATGTCGGCGGTTTATCTGTGCTCTTTATACTTTGTACTCGAGTACACCATAACGCCATCGTCCCACTAACTTTGAAAACAAAATTTCTCAATAAAGTATGGATTTGAATCTCTTTTTCGCGAATTAATGAATATCACACATGAATATCAGTTCAACTCATATTTAAAAAATTCAATTAATAATCTATTCACCTTACTCTACATTTTATTCAAGTGTCTGCGTTGCAATGTGACTATATTTATCTCATATAAATACCAAATACATCGATATTCAAACTTTTTTTTCATGCAAGAGCAGGATGAGAATCTAGTGATATTCGTTGACATACATTTACAAAAATATAATGTATAGAATAATCAATGTAATGGAAAGGAAATATAATGGCTGAATAATTTACACATAGTAAAAATTGGGAAACTTTCTGATTTTCACAACATTACAGTTACAAATTGAGACAAAAGATAAGATAAGATCAGATAAGATAAGAAATTGTTCATGTCACTTAAAAAAGTATAGCAACAAAAAGGGAGTGGATAATTTTTATTTAATAAATTAATAATAAGAAGGGGTTCGAACCATTTCAATGGTCTGGTCACTTTATGTCACTTTGGCCCAGCCATAAGAGTAAAGAATTATGAGAAATAAAAAACTCATTACGTGAGGGTGGTTTAATCACCCAAGATGGATGAGCCATCACTGTGGCGGCCGCAAAAATATCGGCCTGGTTGTGCACGAGAACGACACTTGGCACCCGTCTTTGTCAAAGCCCAACAGAGCGTCCGTGGCGAGGTCGCAGAATTAGGCGTAACACTGAAATAGAGAACATGACAAATTCCCATTACAATGTTTTTTTTTGTTTTTTCCCTTATTCTCATCGGAATGATGATACAAAAATATTTATCCTTGTTCGTGTTTTTTTTTTTTGTTTATACCTTCTAGACGGACTAACACTGTAATTACTGGTTGACGATTTGCTGAGAATACGGCGTCTCAATTCATTTGCATCTTGTAAATCATCAGTATCATTGAATTGATTAATATGTAAATGCGAATGATTTACATCGTCAGACAAAATACTCGAATCTTCCCCCCTGTTGTAGTCCATTACACGATCCTCACGATGTAACTTTGAGGGTATATATGAACATGAAAGTTCTTCAACTGGTGTTGTATTTGTACAGCACCAGGAGGATGCAGACTGGAGTACAAGTCCAATTTTTTCTGTAGAAAAAAAAAACAAATATGGTTTTTCTTCACTCAATGTGGCTTAATTTATTTTACCTTTCAAATGAATGAGCTGTTGAGTAAAAATATCAAATAAACCATTGATATTTTTCATCAATCGAGCTGTATAGCTTATGTTTGGAACTATTCCAGGTGCAGGTGTTGATGCACGTTGTGGGGCACTGTGCTTTTTCGAATTAATCATTTTAACATCAGCCACGAGTAACTGCTGAATTCCAAGCATCACATAATGCACTGAAAAATGCAGTAGAATTACTAAAATGCATTTCATTATTATTATCATATACTTGTAATGAGAAGATACTGGAAAAACCTACTTGCTGTAATGAAGAAAATTAAAACAGTAATGGATGTGAAGTCAAGGCAGGCGTTCATTCCGTGTTTTAAAAAAGTAATTAAATTCAGTGGAATAAACCCCATAATTGTAGCTCTTGTCAAAAATGGAGCATTGAGAAAAGCAGCGACTATCATTGCTGCTAGCAAATAAATAATATGCAATGAGATACGATAGATCCTCTGTAATTGTTCGCCTATAAAATTCAATCTTTTGAGTTTAGTTGTTTCAGCAAGAATAATTTAATTTACGGATTTAAAAACAAAAAAAATTAAAAATAAATTAAGTTTACCTGTATTGCCAATGTAATCAGTAATCCATCCCAATTTTTCGTCAATTTCCTGGCGCATCGATTCAGTCACATTCCATATGAAATGAATAGTATTATTTATTTTTTCCAATTTTTCAAATATCAATTCGTACTGTACTACAGCATCAGCATTTTGCTCTACTATACGTTTCGTACTCTCTTCGATTTTCTCCCAAATTAATTGAGACTTTTTTTGAATATCCATCAAGTCCTTGAGAAGTTCCTGATGATTCTCTTGACGCTCTGAAGCTTGAGTCATGAGATCTTGATTGGCTTTTTCTAAAAACAAGAAAAAATAAAATGTTGTTGATTCTACAGCTTGTAATTGAATAAAATAACAGGGAATAGTAGATAATGAAAAAAACAATGTTACCCAGACGTGTTCGAATGTCTTCCGTCATGGAGGCCAAGAGAGTGTGTCCGCTACGAATCAAATACTTCTCGTTTGTCAATTGTCGAAGATTATTTGCCACTAATCTGTGAGATGTTGACTGAGAATCCTCAAGGTGCTTTTGTTGCTCTAAAAGGATTCTATTGCCCTTTGATAATGATGACAATGCGTCAATAGTATGTGTTTCTAATCGCTCGTAACTGTCCTGAAGGAAGAAATTTGACAAAAATACAAAAAATCAGAATAGCAGAAAAAGATACAATGAAAATAAAACACAATAAATAGAATTGGCGAGCCACCAACCTTCAGAGAACCGAGGGCTTCAATTTGCGAACGTGTAGTGTGCATAAGTTTATTGACAGTCAATTCAGTGAGTGCTCGGAACTGAATATTACGTGCTGCATAACAAACAGCTCGTGCTCTGTTGCTCATCAAGTGGTAAGCATTCCACATATCTGCATCCATATCGATTGTACATTGTTTGAGGGACTGAAAAAGACAAAAATCCAAAATCAAAAATCAAATAATAATGAATTCGTATATATTTGGAATAGCGTTATAAAATGATACAAGTTGTAAACTCTAAAAACTCTGAAAAAATAAATTCAAGCACCTAAATTTAATGATTTTCAAGTGAAAAAACTAAAAAATGTGTGGCTTAAACTAATGCCCAACGAGTGAGAGTGAGCTTTAAAACTGAATGAAGGGGGCCCTGGTAATGATTCTCAGTGGAGGTCCTCTTCAAAGCTACCCAGTAGGGGAGAAATGTGTGCAAGTTGAAACACGTATGTGCGACACCCCTCTAAATAGAAACTTGGTACTTATTATTCACTTGAAAATTTGAATGATGTTACCAACGGATAAAATTTTAAATCATAATATACCATTTTTTCACTGCAAGGAAACATCTTTCTGCCCTCTACAGCAGACTGACAATTTAACAGGTTGACACTGAGCTTCGCGAGCTCTTCTTCACTAAGCTTGCTGCAGGAACTTTGTATTCTCATAATGACTTTGTGCTGACAAAGTTGGAGAGGTGATGAGACCTGAATGTCTGTAAATTTTGCTGCTTCTTGAAGGAATTTCTCATCGTCTGTCATTGATTCATAGGGGATGGCTATCAGGGGGACGCCGGGGACGCCATTAGCAATTGAAACGTCAGGTTCCTCTGGGGATTTACTCCACATCCAATTTAAAATTGAAGAAGCCTCGACGCATGTTAATGCCAAAGTAATGAGCAATGAAATCTCCATTTTTTCATTTATTATTCTTCAAATTTCCTTTCATTACAACTATGTTGAGATGATTGAAAAAAAAAAAAAAAAACAACAACAACAAAAATAAATAATTATCAAGTTTCAAGTTTTCAATCATAGATTAATCAAGTTGTCTATTATTTCAATGGGATAACTTAATTATTTAGAAGTGTTATAGGATACATGACAGATGACCAACCTTTTTTTTGGATAACCAACGTCGAAATACCGCTTGACAGAGCAAAAAATAAAAAATTCCTTTTGTTTTTCCTCGAACCTGATATAGTTTTTGATTTTATGACTTTTTCCTTGAAAGGAAATTGACAAAATTTTGCACCTTTGAGACAAGTTACAACACGTTCAAACCTGTTGACAAGCATATATTCTCCATCTCACTTAATTTGAAGGCGGGCCAAGTAAGTAAAGCAAAACGGTTATTTTCCAGCGCAGTAGCGTGCTTGCTTGCACGTGCTGCCACTTATTCAAATTGATTCTTGTTGATTATACAATGAGTAGAGACACTATATCACATTGATCACAAATCATTTATTGCGCATATTTAGTAGATACATAAATTTGTCTCGTACGTCTAATGTTGAAATTTCAAATGGTGAAAAAATGTCGAATAGAAATGAAAGCTGCGAGTAAATTGTGAACTAATTATGTTGTCAGTAGTTGCCTGCTGCTGCTGCTGCTGCTGCTGCTGCTGCTCTGGTGTGTCTCATTGCAACCAATACAATGGCAAAACAAAATCAAATCGTCACGTTGTTGAAATTATTATTTTATAATAATTTCGAATTGTGAATTATATGTGAATGAAAACTGATGACTGATATATGTAGTTAATTGGTAATACAAAAGTAGAATAGAATAGAGAGAGAGAGAGAAAAATGAAGAGAAATTAATATAAAGACAATAATATATCAAGATTCATTTTTTTTCAGGCACAACTTCACTAATACCGTACATACCAGCAAGCAATCGACCATGCGAAATTGGCACGGGCTCTTTTGGCGCTAAATAAGGGCCTTTTTCACCCATGTAAACATAAGGCAGTCTCAATACCCAATAAGCACTTTGTGATAATTTGATGGGTTCTTCTTCACAGCCAGTTATGAAAATTGGTGCCGGTGGAGGACCGGGTTGGACTCTTGGATTCAATGTTACGTGAACAGGTGCTTTTGGTGTAACTACGTGGATTCTCATTAATTGAGCAATCAGCGGTTTAGTTTGTCTATAGAGAAATAGACAGAAGAATAAATAAATGATTAATGTAATGATTTTTTTCCACTGTATTATTCTTCAAGTGAATAATAATAATAATAGAATGGTGATGAAAAATTCATTTTATCAAATTACCTGCACGGACAGGGAAAATAAAGTGGCATATCAGCTGTACTGGAGGTTACTTTGTTCCCGCTGTCTTTGACAATTCCATTTCCTGTTGCTTTCAAGACCTTATCAGGTGCTGCAGCCATAAATCGATGACCCCTCGGGCACTCATACTCAACTCCAACAAAAATTTTCACAACAAATTCTTTTCCACCTTTAGATTTTCGACACTTCAAGGCATTTGAATTTTGAAAACTCTTTCCCCGAGAGCCAAATCCATGGGTGCTCGACTGATCTCCAACAATTGGCCAAAATGCTCCTCGATCTTTTTGATGTTCAAGTCGAACAGTCACGTCCCAAGGTAAAAGGAAGGCAGAATTTTGTAAAACACCTGTTTGATGTTGCAGTCCCAAATTATGGGAATAGAGACTGCTAGGTCCAAGACAAACTAAGGACCAACTGGAGAACTGTGGCAAAAGTCCAGCTGGTGATTCAGTGTGCAACATGCCTGGTAAATATTCTGTTGTTGATGGTTGTCGTATCAACGATTTTTCTACAATGAATAATAAAAAATTTTGTAGCAATTACATATAATTAGTTTATTATAAATTGCTCAATATGCATGCAGCATACCCTTCAAGTTGTCAGAATTATCATCAGACACTTGTATGACAACTTTGTGTCCATCACTTGGTGTTAGACTTGTTTTATCAATTTTCTGATGATCATCTTCATTGGGATCGTTGGTGAATTGAGATTGTCCAGCACTGCCATAACCTGCAACATTATTATTATTATCATTAAAAGAAAAGTTTGAAAAAGAAAAAAATTCTCCTCAATTACCATGCAGAGTACCATCAGCTAAACTGCATGCTTGTGTTTGTCCTTGTGGAGTTGATAAATCAACTCGACCAAATGAATCTTTTCTCTTTGTTCCGGGAAAAAGTTGTGCTGCTCTGAAAAATTATTAATTAATAAATGAAAAGGGAGATTGATGCCATTTTCATCAAGTTTTTGTTTTTTTTATATTTTCAATAGTCTTACCTGTAATTATGGGTACTGGGCTGGAAAATAGGAAATTGGACAGTTTCCAACTGAGCACAACCACACTGCTTTGCCATTATTTGAAACCAGTCGTAATTAGCATGCCTAACATTGAAAGGATCATCTCTAGGCCCCTGACAACGTCCGCAATTGCATGCACAAATGTATCTAACACCAGAGCAGTGTTCCATAAGAGGTAGATCATTATCTTCTTTGTCTCCATTAGCATGTTCTCCCCCACCAGCTCCTTCACTTCCTCCATTATGTAGGGGATTTGTACAAGGATTTCCAGTCAGAGACAATACCTCACACATTTGTCTTCCAGTTTTCCAGTGATTATCACATTCACTATGAAGTTTGGCAGCAAATTCATCAAATAAGGGTCCACGTGCGTGCATCTCAAATACTGCCATTGCATGTGTGAGTTTATTTTCGTGATAAGCTCGTCCATAATGTTGGGGTAAATTATCTTGATATGTCTGGAAGGCCCTTGGCAATACTTTATTGCATCTACTTTTACTAAATTTAACATCAGTATCTAATAATCCATGAAGACTTGTTGTCAATTCTTTATCTCGTGAATTGACAAAAAAATTATAAATACCATTGACAGTGTGGAAAAATGTAGAGACGGAGGGAATTTCAAAGTGGGCTGGTGTTGAATGTCGACCGACATTATCGTCAAAACCTTTAGCAAATGCTAGTTTAATGTGCTGCTGAAGAAAAACAGTGAAAGACCTATTTTCACTGAATGAATAATCATCATTGATAATACTTTTGTTATTTGCTGGTGTGCTAACTCTGCAACTAGCCATTAATTTTTCAATCATGTAACCAAGCATATCTCTTGACTCGGTTGGCCCACTATTATTGACATAGACAAATTCTTGATTTGCCGGAATGGCAAACAATGAATTGGCACTGACATTGGTTACGATTCGATGTTTCCTTAGCAAATGATAGATTTGGTCCTCCAGAGAGTGCTCTAATTTCTTTATGTTTTTTATTGCTCCAGGGCAAGTCTCGAAGTAAAATAAAACTCTGGGAGAGCAGGGACGACCGTTGGTACACCAACTCTTGGGTATTCCTAATATTGATGTCAATAAAGTGGAAATTTGGCCCAAATTTTTTTGCCTTATTACGTCCAAAGCTCTGAATAAATGCACGTAACTGTAGTCGAATGTGTGCGTTGGATGACTGAGAATAATAATGTGAGAAATGTGAAATAATACAAGTAGAACCTTGGCATATCTTTCACGCATGTAGGCCCAGCCACTGAGAAAATCCTTGCACTCAAATTTCTTCATGAAATTATCATATTCATTGATCAAAGTATCAGTGTCAAAGAGCCCTCGTAAATGAAGATAAATTGTTCTTTCTTGATAATTGTAATATCCTTCAATTTCGCTCAACGAATCAACATTAACAGAGGGATGATTAACTAAATCGACGAGTAGATGTGTCCCAATCATCTCTGTTTTGCTGCCTCTTGCGCGGTGTTGTGATTTTCCAATTACCGACACTATTACCACTTTTTCTTCTGTGTGTGTGAAATTTTCGGGGCTGCATGGCACTGAGAATTTCCTCAGTCGCATAAGGCTAGTAATAATACTTTTTATTTTTATTTTACTATTTAATTATTTATTATCGATTATATCGATATTAGAAAAACACCTCTAGCACAGAGTAGGTTTCACTTTCACATCAAATAGGTTATGTATGCCTGCCCCTGTTCCCCTGCCTGCCCCTGCCAGCCCCAGCCAATCCAGAGAATCACAATATTCTGTTGACGCGCTATGTAAATCCTCCCAGTATTCTATCCTATAGTATACACAGTATAACATATATATATATATATATATATACCAATAATATAATGGAAAAAAAGAAAAGAAAAAGACAAAAGTAACCTTGTTGGCGAAATGATTTTTACTTTATTGATTGATGACATTGATGTGTGATATACTTACATATTCCATCGGATATTAATTATTTTCAATTATAACCATGTCATCAACAAAGATAATGTCAGCAATTTTAACAAATACTGGGCATGTTTTGACGAAAAAAGGAAATATCATTCACATTAGCATTGCTAGAATGATCAATAGTAAAACCTTAATTAATCAAAAGTCAATCGATGAACCGGTAAATATTGGAGTGCCCCAACCTGAGCCGGATAAAATTCAAGCAGCAGTGTTGAAAGAATTTTCAAAACCTCTGCTAATTGAAAATGTTGAACCTCCACAAATTCAACATAAGAATAATGAGGTAAGATGATTTATTCATTTTATTACTTTTGATGAACGATAAATCATATATGGGCATTGTTTTCAGGTTCTCATCGATGTACATTATTGCGCTTTAAATGGGCCAGATATTTTGCAAATGAGGAATGCATACACATCTACTACAACGTTACCAAAAATTTTAGGGTATGAAGTAGGTGGAAAAATATTACAAATCAGTGAAGGAGCCAAAGCCAAAGCCAAAGCGGATGGCTTGAAAATAGGAGATTATGTGGTTGCTCTCAATAAACTCCATTCTCGAGGTCTAGCTCAACAATGTATAGCAGATATAACAGTAAATTTTACACTCAATTTTCATACATTTACTTGTAATAATTTAATGATGTTTGCTCTTCATCAGTAATAATTAATCAAGCTATTATTTACTTTGTTCAACTTTATATATAGGATATTTGGAAGGTACCGTCATCGTCAAAACTTGTCGATTCAGTTTGTATCTTGGAGAATTACATGACAGCATTAATTGGTCTTGAGAAAAAAGCTCATTTGGAAGAAAATGAAATGGTATTAGTCAATGTAGGCCTCGGAGGAGTTGCATTGGCTGCTGTTGATATTGCAGCTAATGTTTTTAGAGCTCAAGTAATCGGTGTTAGCGCGACAGAGGAAAAAGCCATACATGTCAGGGAAAAAGGTGCCTTTGCCTCTTTGGCCTTTAATGATAAGAAATTGGTCAAGAAAATTAAAGAGTTTGCCGCTGAAAGGGGTATTGAAGGTGTATTTGACGGAACTGAGGGTGAAAAGTTTAAACAAATTTTGGATTGGTCAGTATTAATTAATATATATTTTTTCCATTTTACCCATTGTTTTGTATTTTCATAAAATTCAACTCAATTTAAATAAAACTCTTTCATTTTTTTTTCTTTTTTTTTTTTTTTCCAGTTTTACAAAAGTTTATGGAGACAATTTTTCATCTGACATACTGCGCGATGACAATTTCTCCATTGTGGTGGAACATTTATCCCGACAGGGGCGTTTAATAATTGCTGGATTTGTACCAAGGGAGGAGGACAACAGAAATGAAATGAAAAATTCATTAATTCCTAGTGGTATAAACCTACGTGAATACAAAATGGAAAATTATGAATCATACAGGTAAATGAATGATTAATCAAAAATAAATAAAATGAAAATGATAAACTTGAAAAAATAGAGACATTTATAATACTATTGTTACTATTGTTACTATTGTTACCCCACACAGGGAAGTGGGTCAAGATGTGTTACAGTATTATGAGGAGGGCCTGATAAAGCCATCTTATTCCTTTATCACCGGCTTATACAATGTTAATGAAGCTGTTTCTTGTATATCCAATATGAAGTGCTTTGGAAAGGTTTGTAAAAAAATATTTATAAATTTACATCTTTATGAAATTATATTTCGAAAAAGTGTCTGCATTATATTTCATCATTTTTTACAGGTTATTATTAATCTCAAACAGCCGAATACAATAAATGAGAAATAAAATAAAAAATAAAACGTGAGTGTACAGTTGGCTATTGATTTCAATGTTATTTTTCTATAGTCATTTCATCTTTTTGACATTTGAAATTTTTTGAAAAAGCAATTTTCTCAACACCAACTATCGATGGAATGCTAAACGAAAGGATCTGAGAAAAAGAAAATTATTGGTAATTGGTTTACGTTGAACAATAAAGTTGTCGTTCTGTATGCTGAACTAGTGATTACCAGTATTTCGAGATTGACACGGGGTGAAAGGAATTCCGTGGATAATATACGCGTAAGAGTTGAAAACGTCAACAACAATGAAATTGTAAATTTATCATAAATTTTTATATTTCTTATCTCCTTTAGATAATATTTCCAATAATAATTACCCGACAATTTGCTTTTATTCATGCTGATGAATGGTAAATGAAAAAATAGCTGCAAAACGAATTTTAATACAACCATGAATTTTTTTCTGAAAGTTTTAACCCTTCAATGCTCACAACAACTAAAGTACGTCCAGTCGTTTATAAATGTGTATAAGTGAGTACAACAGTGTCGCGAAGGCCAGCCGGCTCACTTTTCCCGGGTGTTAGGTAGTTTACAGCTTTGCATGGCCTCAGTACACGTGAAAATTTTTTTGAATCCATATCGAGTTGAATTTATTGAACATTGATTTGCCAGTAACTTGCCTTAAGTTTATTTATTTATTCATATATATACTTTTTTTGTTGGTTCATTTTACAATAAAAATTACTATAGTGAATTATAATTGGATTAGAATGGAAGGAATTGCATGATGAAGGCCAAGAGGAAAAGTTATTAAATTGAAACAAAAATTGTTGATTAAATGATATAATTGTGTTGAGTGGTGGTGATGGTGGTGGCGGCAGCGGCGGCGGCGGCGGCGGCTGTATATGATACGAATAAACGACCACGTGAACGCGCGAGAGGTGGACAGGCAGTAGGGGATAAGAAATGCGTTCACGTAGTCTGCTATATACCTCGCCAGTGGCTTAGTCTACCACTTGGCTTCTCCGTGACACGCGCCGGTTGAATACTCAACATGTATCATCTCATTCATAAAAGTGATTGGCCCATAGTGATCATGTAACACCATTAAATTCAATGCAATTAAATATCATCCGCTATTTGAATTCAAACGTGTGGCAATAATAATGTGATTTTTGAAGAAATTTAAAAAAATCTTCACCCCAACTGACGGACAAGATAAACTAATTAGGATAAAATATAAAATTTGTAATTGCAAGCGAAATCCCAAGGAAGAAAGGAATTCCACAATGAGAAACAACATCATCAGGTGGATTTATAACCGAGTACTTGAATGAATATGAATAGATTCCAAGTTATGGAAATGGAAAGGTAAAAAAAAAAAGAGTGATTCTTTGATATCAATTGTAAATACCACATATTTTGCGCTTTGAAATAAGGAAACAGCAGTAGACCCATTCCAGGGCAACAGCTGTTTATGTGACTCGACCGAGAAACACGCCCACAGCTACTATACTCACTGACGACTTTCGATGAAAGAAAGTTTTACGGTAGTTCTGGAAAGAAATTTACAAATCATTTTCTGGTGGTGAATATCGCCCGTAGTGAAGAAGGAAAAAAACCGAAATTATGGATGGACTTTTGCGAATTAACGAATGCAGGGATTAAAAGAGGAAAACTAATGAAATCCCGTATCATGGAAAATACAATGTGAATACAGGTGCAGCTAATTAATGTTGAAAGATGGGGGCAATGCGCCGGTGGAATGATTCGTGCAATTCTTCGACGATGAACGAAAAAGGAACAATGAAACATTTCAAGTGTTATCACTATAATTGAGAATTTTTTATTTCATTTTATTTTACTTTTTTTTTTTTGTTGTTGTTCATTCTTCTTCAGTTTAATTGAAATATTATTGTGAGAAACCGAAAGTATTATATGCAGGGGGAAGAAATCTCCTGTTAAATCAAGGAAATCAATTTTAATTTTGTGGCCATTTACAGAAAAGGTAAAAGATAAAAATCATTACATCTGCATGAAACTTTATAGCATATCCTCTAGTAATTATCTAGTATTACTCACTAAGCTGAGTAGCCGAAATTATTGAAAATGACCATGTAATACTCGTTTTATTAATATATCAGCTGATTGTACATAGAGCAGGGAAAAGTTTTAAGTACTTAGTATGCCATTCGATGAACAAGTCAATATTTGGTACATACTGGTCTTTAATCAATTAACTCGCATTCACCAACACTGAATAACACGCACAGAGACTAACGGTTTTCAAACAGAACCATGTGACCATAGTGCTTCTATGTTTATTATTGGCTTATATTTACAATTTTTCTTTTGCTTTTAATAGCTAAGAGTTATTAGTTAGTATGGATTGAACAGATTTTACCATTTCTGGTACGAATCATTTTTCATTCCCTTCCGTGGAAATAATAAAATGTTTACTAAGCTAAGGTGCCGTATATTATATTGTAGATTCTTGTATAAATTATATTACGACGTGATTGGATGGATACGATGCTCTTTCTAGAAATTGATCTAAATAGGAATGAGTGAAAAATGTTTTGCGTCATTTGGGTGGTAAAATGGATTCGAAACCGTCACCAAACTACCGTTGTGGAGCAGATTCGATTCATCTCAGCCGCAATTATAATTTCCCCAGTTCTCCGCTGAGAGCTGTGAACAACCGGCTCTCAACACGCAACTTTCACAAATGGCTTCTGACGACGACCAATATTCAGCTGTATGCATGAAAAATTTGCTGCATATCTTTTAGATTAGATTCTTGCTCTTTTATGAGTGCGCGTATAAACTATTTTCATCACACACACGCGCCTGTTATTTATTCGGGCATTTATTTTTACACGAAATTCCTTTCAAAGTGGTTTTTTCCCATTTCTCCCTTGATATGTATTATAATATTACTATTATTTTCATCTTTTTTTCTTTATTTTTCTACACACGCGCTTGCTACTCATTTTGAAATACCACAAAGTATATCAACTCCAAGACGCCGCTGAGCCGCTGGATGTTGTAAATATTTTAATCTCCAAAATATCTCAACCCCTCCTTTCCTTTACACCGATTATATATTTACACGTATACAGCTTTTTATTTCTTCCTTCTTTCGCATTATCCTTTGCATTATGGCTTTTGTCCGAGTCAAGGAGAGAATAGTGAAAGCGAGTGGCATCATCCAGTCTCGATTATATGCGATTCTATCCCCAATTATTGAACCTCCTCTGAATTTCGTATGTGAATGAGAGTTCGTGACTCAATGCGAGAGCAATGAGTTAGAAAGTGCCGTTGATGTGCACCTATTAGGATGGTACTTTTAGTAGAGGGAAAAATAAAAGAATTAATTTCAACAAAAGAAAAAAAAACTTTTTGATTTCCACATTGAATTTTTTTCCCTTTTTTTTTTTCTAAATGATTGCTTAATTATGTACATGAAGCGCGTCTAATTTTTTCACTCAGAAGTACGCAAGGATGATGCACGTTTCATACTCGAATGAGCAATGAAATTGTGAGTAGAATTGGCGACGCGCAAAATGAGATAGGTATCGCTTTCTCTGGTGTTCACAACTTTAGTTGTATAATAAACATGAGTATAGGTACATAAATGAATACACAAAAGGTTGCATGCTGTAAATTTTGATTTGATACTATTGGCCCCAGGCGGCTTGTGCTTAAAACGACTGTTACATATTGGAGTAGAATGGTTAGAACGAGTGATGATGATGGTGTAAAAATTAAATAGAGTGGTGGTGTATGTATTACTAGGAAAATCAAGCGATTATGTTCACCGATGTATAACAGTATCGGGGGGAAAGCAAAGGCAAAACTTGCGTGTCTGCATGAAAATATGAACAGGTTCACGTCGACTTTACGTAAGGTGAAAATTTTCTTTCCTAGTAACTTAGTTTATGCTAACCTGAAATTACAATATCAATTTCTTTGAAAACACGTTTGACATTTAAATGGTTCATTTATATTGTTGTTAAATTTCAGGAGGAACGAGTCAAATACTGCACCTAGCCATGAACCTCGCGCTGCATGGATTTCTACTACAGGGTAAGGCAATATATTCTCGAGATCTGAAAGTTTTAAAAATGAAAACAAGGGTCACAAAGATGACCAACAGTGGAATATTGTATAGACGCGCGTGTATTGTATACACTATAAAACGGTGGTATGCATATTGCGGTCGAAAAGCGTAGGTAGGACTGATGGCTAGATACTGCCAGTCAACCATTGAAGTTTATTATAATTACGCACTGCTTCTATCATAATGATGATGATGATGATGATGATGATGCCGCAGGATGTGCGGAGGATTCTTCCGGTAATTATGTGAAAGAACGAGAGAGGAGGATTCATGTTTCATCAATCTTCCTTAAAAATTGAGACATAAAAACATGTCCATACTTTCCGTTGTTTTTTCTCTTAATGTTTATCGCTCACGTCAATGACAGCGAAAATGAGGAATAGTGGTGCATATACAACGTCAACAAGACGCGCTATGCGCTCGAGTCCTTTATACACACTTTCCATTGCAACTCTATGTAACATGTATACTTTCATGTATACTACAGTCGCATATAAGGGATGCATGCGCCTTTTCTTTCAATTGGAAAATTATAGGGATGAGAGGAAAACAATAATAAAAATATATGCAATGCTCTCTGTGAGGAATAAGAAACTTTTGCAACCTGTTGCATTATCATTTTATATTTCATTGTTTAATATTTTTATAATTTTTCGCTCGTCATGAGTTTGTCGTTTAGAAAGGTGCTTCCGGTGATTGAAGGCTTCTCATATGAGCAGATAATCGGTGCAATTATCTCTTGTATAAATATATCGATATGGGCTATTCCATTTTCAAATTGACAATTTCGTTAATCAATAGTGGATGTTTAATAGTTTTCCGCTCGTGTCTTTTTCAATTTCTTTTCAATACATGTCGCTCATCTAGTGATTCCTCGACAAAATTTGACATGTCATATGGTGGCCTAAATCCTCATCCTCAACTACCTATTAATAATAAATTCATGTTTGTATTAAAGGTGGATGATGCTTTCTTCGATGCGGAACACCGAGTTATATAGCTTCTCGGTCGAATGCACGCCGCTAACGCGGTGAATTGTGCAATACCAATGTTCGACCTTACAACTGCGTCCCTATCGTGTGGGTTTGCAATACATCTCGAGTTGGTCATCATTTCGATCCACCTTATTTTCATTCATTGGTGATTTGTTGTTTCTCTCTCTCTCTCTCTCTCTCTCTCTCTCTCTCTATCTATCTATCTATCTCTAATAGACGAATGATGTCTCTAAATATGAATAAATGACCATGTATGACGAGGTGAAAGGTACATTTCTATAGCATATCATATGCCCAACTACGCTGCCCTTTTCAAGCTGATAAACTTACCATCTTTCATTATATTTGCATTCTACGTTTTTTTTTTTATATTGTCATAGTTGTCTTATTTATATATCTATATTTGTCAAGGACACGTGAAAGTGAGATCTTGATATTTATCGTTCGGGTATGTTTTCTGTCAGGATGCGAAGACGAGTTCTCGGCGGGCCTGCCAATCCACGGGAGGACGACCCGCACGCCGATAAATGTCACGGCATTCACACAGTCATTACGTGCGGACGTTATATCATTTGGGTAGGATATACTGCCGGTTCATTTTTCCAATTGACTCTAATTAATAAATACATACAACAAAAAAAAACAAAGATCTAGATCTTGATTCTATTAAATATATTGATCATCAAGTTGCAAAAAAAGCAAGGTCATTATTAATTGGCTTTATTTGGATACTTAATTAAAACTCTGATTAATACATATAGATCATTATTCCAATAAAAGTCGATATTTATAGCGACAAAAATATTTTCATTGATTTTCACTATTAATCCAGAAAATAGAAAACAAAAAATTCATCATCGGCCTGATGGCACACGTGTATAAATACATAGGTGATGTTTAAGTATTGTGCAGTACAGAGCCGCCGTTCCAATTACTATTTCATGCGTATAATCAATGAATGAATGAATTTTTAACAACACTCCTGACAACATAATAGAAACTATTGAAATCTAAATGATGAAAAAGTGGCAATCACCATTATTAACTTTCATTGATTGATTTCTGCTGGTTGTTGGAATATCACCGTTCAAGGACTACTTCCAAACGTGACTACATTTCTGGAGAGTTTGTAAAAGAGACAGGACATTCTCGAATGTATTCACAACGTATACGCTATAACGGTGAATGCTGCCTTGGAGTTGGCAGAATTCAACGTTACACTCCAAGAGACACAAACAGTCGGAATTATTTGAGAAATTTCTGTTCCTACAGCGGAATCTTCGACGCTTTCCTTTTTCCCTTGCTGAAAAAAATTCCATCGCATCTTTTCTTCTTTTTCCTTGTATTTGTAGTTTTGAGGAGAGAACCTGGCTACAACTACTTGCGTTCAATCAAATTTTCCAGCGCTGGGGTGTTTATATGTATATATATATATCTTACAAACAAGTGCGTATCTTGAAGTAGAGGGCTCGAATATTCCGGTAAATTTCTCCATCTTCCTTGAAACACTATTCTCACTGATGTTATAATCTAATGATGAAACACTAGCAGTTTGGAGGTGTTGAATTTAAGCACTCTATTTAGTATTTTATTGATAATTTGATTTGTTCATCATCCACTTATTATTTAATTTTTTGTTCCAGTTATCTTGTCCATTATCGACTTGAAATATGGATTGTGCAGCGCGGGGGAACCTGGTGTAAGTTATTGATAATTTTTTCTTTTCTTTTCTTTTAACTTGTAATATATTGCAATATATCTTTCATTTCATCAAAGTACTTGGACTTTGACAATCTCCCGGAGACGAATTTTTCATGCCAGGGCAAGGTCATTGGTGGATACTATGCTGATGTCGAGGCCGGCTGTCAGATGTTCCACGTGTGTACCATCGGTCAGAAAGGTACATGGTAAATCTTATTATATTGTGTTAGTTGTCAATCGAAATGAAAATCATTTATAATAATGCTGTAATTATGACTCGTCATACTGATTGATTTTTATTCAACTGCGTAAGCTCATATATAATGGATTGTGATTTTGTTACTTTAACATATGGGAAAAAGGATCAGCAAGACATTGGTTGAGCATAACTTGCATAATCGCTTACATAAATTAACAAGGACCGGCTGTCGACATTTTTCACTTGTAGATTTTTTTAAAGGTTTTTCAAGAGGTTAGTAACGGTGGCAGCGGCGGCGGGGCAGTTGCAGCAGCCGAGAAAGTGGTCGACTACTGCAGCTGCCTCCCCTCCGCTCCCTCCCGCTGAATGATTAAACATTCTATTATTATTATTGTACAATATTTTTATCAGAGAGTATGTAAAATAATACTAGATCTCTCGTGTTACCGTGAGATGTCATTTCAGATGAGATAATGGACATTAAATTTCTATGTCTGAATGGCACGGTCTTCGACCAGGAGACAAGGGTTTGTGAACGAGTGGATGAAGTCGACTGCAGCAAAAGCGAGCGATTTTATAATCTCAATCTCGAGTTGTATGGCAACAATGCTGTGACACTCAGGTAAAATGTCATCCATTTTATAATAATTTTCCCCGACATTGTGTGTGCAAAAAATCATACATCATNTTTTTTTTTTTTTTTTTTTTTTTTTTTTTTTTTTTTTTTTTTTTTTTTTTTTTTTTTTTTTTTTTTTTTTTTTTTTTTTTTTTTTTTTTTTTTTTTTTTTTTTTTTTTTTTTTTTTTTTTTTTTTTTTTTTTTTTTTTTTTTTTTTTTTTTTTTTTTTTTTTTTTTTTTTTTTTTTTTTTTTTTTTTTTTTTTTTTTTTTTTTTTTTTTTTTTTTTTTTTTTTTTTTTTTTTTTTTTTTTTTTTTTTTTTTTTTTTTTTTTTTTTTTTTTTTTTTTTTTTTTTTTTTTTTTTTTTTTTTTTTTTTTTTTTTTTTTTTTTTTTTTTTTTTTTTTTTTTTTTTTTTTTTTTTTTTTTTTTTTTTTTTTTTTTTTTTTTTTTTTTTTTTTTTTTTTTTTTTTTTTTTTTTTTTTTTTTTTTTTTTTTTTTTTTTTTTTTTTTTTTTTTTTTTTTTTTTTTTTTTTTTTTTTTCGTTTGACATTATATTTTCAGAGTACTTGTCATTATTATTCACTATATTAAAATTAAACATTCTCCATGCAAATTTTATTTGGCATGTCATATAGAGTCAAACTAACACCAAACATTTTTATTATTACCAAACACATCCGTCTTGGGCGGTTATAGGTAGTAAGACCATTCACCTCACAATCAGTTGGACGGTTTCGCAAGGACCACCGACACCGAATGCCTTTCATTTGACATACCTTTAACGGGGAAATGGAATATCAAATGCGTACAAGTCCACGTTAATAATCCAATATTCTTTGGACATTTCAGTTTACACGAAGAACCTGTTAATGATGACGAATCTCCGACTCTAATTGATAATCTTAATCTCCACCAGACAACATCAGTAAGAGCAATTACAACAACAATGAGCAGTACAACAACTACTCCAATATCGGCAATATCCTCGATTACCTCCGCAAATGATTATCCTCAACATTTTCAACATCAGCCATCACCATTCTCATCCGTCCAAACTAGTCAATCCAAGTCACGCTATGATAATGACAAGAATGGTGGTTATCATCATCAATATATTTATCACAGTGGTGATAATAATGAAGAGATTGATAACAATAACGGTAACAACAACAGTAACAACAACAACAACAACAACAACAACAACAACAACAACAACAACAATCAAGCAACTTCCTATCAGTTATTCAGTAATCAGGGTGCAAGTTCAACAACAGGAGCCCCCCAGATTCATCAAATATCATCATCAGTGTCACCGCAGTTATTCCGCGCTACCTCGTCAACACTCCAAACTTTACTCACTGGCAATGCCAATAATCCTCCCTTAATAAATCCCATATTTCATAATCATAATCATGGAATTATAAGTACAACTGAACAATTTACATTGCACAGTAGTAATACCCGTGAGACTGCTGATGATTATCAAAGAGAGGAGGATAATTCAAAGAGCCGTAGTAATGAGCGAACATTGCTCGAGCCAATACAATCAACAAATCAAGGAAAAATTTCAAAATTAACTATATCACCTGTTCCTCGAGACAAGTCCTCCATGGATAAAATTAAACATGAAATTAAGGAAGAAAGTCAAAGTCAAAGTCAGAGTACCTCTCACCAGCATCGAATATCTGGTGGATTTTTATCAATAGCTCCTCCATCTGATACTGGCCCACCAACAGTTAGATCTTTTTATCCAACACCAAAAACTCCTGAAAGTTCTACTACGAGAGTCACACAACACATACATCTGCCTCCTCCACCGCCAATTCCCCAATTGAAACCTCATCAAGTAACAATTCATTTGTCTCCTCCAGAAATACAAAGACTAGGGCCTCAAAACCCCCCCTCACCTCTTCTTCCCTCCCAATCAAGAGTAATAGTCACGGCAAAAGCAAGTGTCAGTGATGAATCTGGAAGGCCTCTCAATACTACACAATTAGTTACACTTCCACTGCCGACAATTCCTGCAAGTTATGATGATTATAAAGAAGGTGATGAGTCATTTGATCCATTCTACAAAGATGTTCCCAAAATAAGAAACAGCAGAAAGTCTGATAGTACATTTGGAAGAAATATATTATTGTTGAACCAACCAAGGAAGAAAAGACAAACTGATGTGGATGAAAGGGAAACATTTCAAGAGAATGAAATGACAACGATTGCCCCAACAAACAACTCGACAGAGCTGCAGGAGCCCAAAAATACAACTAGTGCAGAACAACTAGTGCCTGATTATTATCAACAAGAGGATTATGAGGAGAATGACCAATATTTCAATGACTCTGAGAGTTCAACAGAATTGAATACTACTACTACTGCAGAGATAGATTCTTATAGCGAATACTACGAATATGATGATGATAAAAATGTTACATCTGATGATTCCGACTATTTAGTCACGACAGAAGAGTCAAATACAACAACCAAACAAATGGAGCAAAACATTACTATTGTAAAAATCAATGAAATGGCAAATGATACAGTGTTGAAATTTACCCAAGAAATTTATCCGCAATCTGATGAACAACCTCAGCAGGACAAAAACAAACTCAAAGATCCTGGACTCGATTTTATAGATAATATTCCTCCTCATGATATTATATCACAAGATTACGTTGATGATAATTACGAGCCAGAGAGTTACAGAGAGCAGCAGTCCATTGTAACTAAAAATGTCAATGAAAGTAGTATTTTTGAATCATTGGTTGAAAATGTTACTGAGGTAGCAATTGGTCAAATTTTTCAAACAACTTCAAAACAAGTAATTGCCACGACATCGTCAACAACACTATCAACTCTATATAATGTTGATATCAGTACTACAACCACACCGGCCACAACGGTAACACGCAAGCGTTATTCCTCCACCGTTTCGACGACAGCTTATCGCCCGACAGCTCCAAAATTAAAAACTTTCTCAACAAGAAGAACATATGTTTATAGCCCACCAACAACTACTGCAGTACCGGTCATGATAAAGACTAGACTTCCACTTTTAAATCCCAAACCAGCTAAACCTCCTAGATCTTATAATGAATTAGCTCCCAAACCGGTCATAAGAAAACATCCACTTTTGGCAAGGAGAGTAACATCAACCACATCAATAGCCCAACAGTCTGAAGAGCCTGAGAAAATGACAACCATCATTAACAATAACAAAACAATTGGCCAAAATACAAGTGAAAAAACATCTCAAATCCTTAATGATAAAGTGTTGGAGAAAATTTCTCAAGCTGTTGGAGAAAAAATCATTGAACAAATCAATGATTTGACAATTACCACTGACAATTCAAAAGATTTTATCAATATCACTACCATGACAAGTGTAACACATTCAACACCCTTGGCGACATATCCAATCATCAATTCATCCTTCTTTGAGGAAAGTCAAGGAAAGACCCAAAGTACAACCTATGAATATTCTACTACTAGTAATACAACGCCAATTATTGACTTGACAACGAGTGACAAAGACCTGGCAACTGTGACATCTTCACAAATTGCTTCAGTATTACCCATTCATTGGAAACCAATGGTAACATACAAACGCGTAAATAGTTTCAATTGTCTAGAGAAGGATATGTATAGATTTTACGCGGATGAACGAGACTGCCGATTATTCCACTATTGCTCACCAGGATTTACTGACAGACAAGTTCTTGATTTTCGATTCGTTTGCGAACAAGGCACTATTTTCGATGAACAAACCCAAAACTGCCTTCATGAGGTGAAAAATTCAAAATGTCAGGAGAAAACCTATCAAACTCGAAATCACTAGGGTTTTTTTCTATTTTTATTATTTTTATTACCACTGTTATCACTTGATTTTTCATTCATTTTTCATTCACCAAATGAACGATCAATATTATTTACAATATAAAAAAAGACAATTTTTTCCTTAATGCCGTTCTCCGAAAGTGCTTCCTTGGTTTTGGTAATTCGTGAATCCAGAGAAAATTGAAAAATTGATAATAAAATATACATATCTCAATTTTTCATCCATTACGTTTATTTTGCCATAACAATTTGTGAGTCAGTGTGTGTGTATGCTAATGAGTGATTCAAATGTCTTTAGCTCACGGCCTATTGGATTCACACTTATTAAAATTAATGCATTTCGGAGAACAAATTTTTTTTTTATAAATTTATTTTGTCTACTTGTATAATTATTCGAGATTCGTTTAGTTTAAATGGTGATCAAATACTTATTGCTCAAAATTGTATTGAGAGGTTTAATAATAATATATATAAGAGCGGAGTGATGATGCATAATTCACAATAATTCGTTTTAGTTATTCATAAAGTAATTTTGTTCCTTTTTTCACCGTTAAATTATGTAAATCCATCTTTTTTTTTGTTTATTTGATGATTAATACATACCTAATTTGGGATATACCTATTCAACATTTCACGCAAAATGAGGAAATTTAATTTTCCAATAAGAAAAGATGAGAGAAAATACAAACGACTCGGTATCATTTATTTTGCATAGGAAAAATATATATTGTTATTATTAAAATTATTTTATATATATATATATATATGCCTTTTCCTCCTTTTTTTTTCCCCCCATAATAAAATTTCAAATATAAACATATATTGATCATTGTCACCGCGTGGAGGGGAGGGGTTTCGTTGTTTTTATACACAGTAGATAAGGAGACTTACGATCGGTCAAACAGTCTTGGTCTCGGTAACCACCACATGGTTTCAACATAACCTATTAAATGTTTTGGTGTCTTTCAAACAAGTTTTTCTCAAAATATTCATCATTATTAAAATTAAAATCAATAAGTTCACGGTATTTACAAAAAATGTCTAATATAAAAATAGGCACCCACAGTGGCTGTTTCCATTGTGATGAGGCACTAGCATGTTTCATGCTAAAACAACTACCCGCTTATAAGGATGCAAGCATTATCAGGTAAAAATATATTTATTATCAAGAAAATTATTATTATCATCATAAAGATTCATAAAAAATTAGAATAAACGTCATCAATAGTCATCATGTATCATGGTCATTTATTCAGGTCCAGAGAGCAAAATGTATTGGACAGTTGTGAGATTGTTGTGGATGTAGGGGGTGAATATGATGCCAATAAACACCGGTATGATCACCACATGAGGGAGTTCAAGGAAACAGCACAGTCAGTTATGAAAAGGGATGACTGTAATTGGGATATCAAATTGAGCAGTGCTGGATTAGTTTATTGTCATTTTGGTCATCAAGTTATACGACAAATGGTGTCCGAAATTCTCAGTGATGATGATATTCATAATATATTCAAACACGTTTATAATTCTTTGATAAAAGAAGTTGATGCTATTGATAATGGCGTTCCAATGTTCGAGGGGGAACCTAAGTATTATATCACAACGCATTTGGGAGCCAGAGTGGCTAGGCTCAATCCAGCCTGGAATTCAGTCGATCTACAACCTGATGTACAATTTACTAAGGCCATGGATATGTGCGGAGAGGAATTTAAGTATCACGTTAATTATGCTGCTAGTGTGTGGCTACCAGCGAGAACAATCGTCAAACAAGCGATTGACAACAGATTTCAGGTTACTTTAAATAAATCATCTTCATATAATTAATTCCGTATCATACTTATATATTAATCATCATTTTATTAGGTTGATCCAAGTGGAGAAATCCTCGAGCTTCCCAAACCGGTACCATGGAAGGACATTTATTTTGAATTGGAGAAAAGTATGATTATTGATCCTTCCGTCAAATATGTTATTTTTCAAGACAACAATTGGCGAGTACAAGCAGTACCGGTGGCTCTTGGCTCTTACACCTGCCGGTGAGTGGTTTTTTCATTTCCATTATATTGAAAATTCTTCATCTTGTGGTCTCTTTGTCAGCCTCTTTCTACCTGAAATCTGGGCTGGTTTGAGAGATGATCAACTCAGCAAAACATCTGGAATTGACGGTTGTATTTTTGTACACCCGGCGCGTTTTATTGGAGGCAACAAGACCCGAGAGGGAGCTCTGCAAATGGCACGAAAAGCTTTACAAATTGGAAAAAATCAACAATGTTTATAAAGGCTTTCCAGAATATTCATAATGCCAACTGGTCAATTTTTTTGTCATTAAAAAAAATAATGTACATTTTATTAAAAAAGGAGACAAAAAACACATACTTATAATTTTCATATCTTTAGACAATAGGTAATAGATAAAACAGAAGGAATAACTCAATAATCAATAATGATGAACAGGAGCAGCGGCTGCATGATAAGCAGCGTGATGTGCTGCTTTGGCGTGAGCAACTTCGGGAGTATCAATTACACGTCCATCATGTCCAAGAGGAGCAGGCTGATGATGTCCATAAGAGTATGTTGGAGAATAGTGATACTCAATGGCATCATAACCGTGTCCATAGCCTGCTGCTTTAGCGGTCTCCTAAATGAATTCATTGAAAAATATTATTTATTCTTTGAATTTTTCGCAACATTTTTAAATAAGTGAGAATGGGAAGAACAAGAAAAAGCAAACCTGTGCATGAGCTTGGAGATGGATAGTCTTGAGGTGAGCTACCTCAGGGGTCTCAATCACGCGTCCATCATGACCAAGAGGAGCTGGGGGTCCGTGGTATTTGATGTGATGATAATCATGTCCACCATAGGAATTTTCAGGTGCATAGCCGGAGCCATAGGCATGTTTGGATGCCTCCTTGGCATGAGCCGCTAAATGCTCGGCTTTAGCATGCGCCACTTCGGGAGTATCGACAACTCGGCCGTCGTGTCCCAGGGGTGCATAACCGTATAAATATCCGGGGGAAGCCAAGGAAGTGGCGACTGTAGCTAGTAGAATCATCTAAATGGCAAAGAATAATCATTTCATCAGTCGAAACACCTCATATCACTTATTATTATAGCATAGCACTGTTGCACGTATATATTCAAAAATGACACATTTTTTTTCTTTAAAAAAATTTTCGTGCACCATCGCCTTTTCACAATCAAACATTAATCTGTCTTATTTTATTTCGAATTTTCCGAATGAACAAACATGTATAATATATATCAATAACTTTTCAAAGTTAAATTACTCTGTACTACTTACAAAAGTTTTCATTATTATTTTATTCAAGTTCAACAATATATAATTTTAAAGAAAATTTTTTTTTTTTGCCTGCGTTGCTGGCTTTTTCCAGTACTCGCTGACTGTGCTGGTTGTTGTGCTGTACCAAGTTGTAGTGTACCCCCTTTATATATTATATGGCAATCGGGGGTAGGGAGTTGTTGAAAAACACCAGAGAGTTTACAACCATGGGGGGGAAAAGAGGAGGGGATAATAGGTGGACCTCAGGAAGAGTGATAGAGTGATAGAGTTATTAAGACGGAAAGGCACATCTGACATTGACATTAAACCAGCAAGAAGGGACAACGGTGTTCTAAGCATAGTGATTCTTTGGTACCTACTCGCCGGCGGGGCTGCTGGGGGCGACGAGGTCAGGATAATGCAGTGCTCTGGGAAAGGGCTCTCACTCTCTCAACATTTCTTATTCGCTTTTCATATTTCGAAATGTGTAACCTATTTCAGCATTGAAATGAGACACGTACAATTTAAACTTGGTTTTTATTTTTTGCTCTATATAATGCATGAAGGTGTTTGCATCATTCAATCTTTGGAAAATGAAAAATTATCTCTAACGTGTGTATATATAATACCATGATGAGAGCAAGGACGACTTAATATATGCAATATGCTATAATACATTCGTATTTATATTACATTAGGCCATTTTTTTAAACATTGCAAACATTTTCCATAAAATATTGTGGTATGATATAAAAATCAATCTTTTCAATCTTCATCAGTAGTGCGGCGGCGGACTATGTATAAGTATGAAGGGCTGTTTTATTCTACCAAAACCTTATTATTATTATTCTTAAATTGTCTCATTTCATCTCACACATAATAAGCTAAACTGAAACGTCATGCAACGACCGCGTAGGATTGAGGACTCTGGGTATGCCTTTCCTTCTGGGCGAGTCTCGTGGGCGTAATAATGGAACCACTAGTTTTTATTTCACGATGAGGTAATCACGCGACCTATCCGTCGTAACAATTTTACATCGTAACGAGGAATACAAGTTTTTCCTTTTCCATCATTTCCATTTTATTTTTCCATCGAATATCCTTCCTTATGTTGTGTGGATTCAATTATTCATACCGATTATCGAAGCCAACTTCTGCTGTTACGAAATTGTAATGTGAAAACTATGGATTAACCGTAATACCTGCACGCGAACTTGTTTTTAATGGTGTGTAGCACAATTGCGAGGGTGAATCTCGGGTTCTGTTCATACTCTGTTTATGGGCGGGCCATCCTTGTAGTAGGCCTTTTTTACTTCTCCCTATTGTTATTATTTTTTTTTCTATTCCAACAAAACAAAAAAAAAGTAAATAAAGGTTGCGCCACACAACGAGCGCCAGGGTGTGTCCATCTAGCTCGGACTCAAACTGTATAGTGGTAATAACAAAAACCAAAGTTCATCTGTTTTTAATGATAGATCACCATTGATATCGCTCGACTAGGCTCTGAAACAACCATCATTTAATGATTCCGACACATCCGATGCGCCACCCTCAATTGCCTGTAGGAGGAATGGATAATAATTTTAATAAATGAAAAAAAAAAAAAAAAAAAAAAAAAAAAAAAAAAAAAAAAAAAAAAAAAAAAAAAAAAAAAAAAAAAAAAAAAAAAAAAAAAAAAAAAAAAAAAAAAAAAAAAAAAAAAAAAAAAAAAAAAAAAAAAAAAAAAAAAAAAAAAAAAAAAAAAAAAAAAAAAAAAAAAAAAAAAAAAAAAAAAAAAAAAAAAAAAAAAAAAAAAAAAAAAAAAAAAAAAAAAAAAAAAAAAAAAAAAAAAAAAAAAAAAAAAAAAAAAAAAAAAAAAAAAAAAAAAAAAAAAAAAAAAAAAAAAAAAAAAAAAAAAAAAAAAAAAAAAAAAAAAAAAAAAAAAAAAAAAAAAAAAAAAAAAAAAAAAAAAAAAAAAAAAAAAAAAAAAAAAAAAAAAAAAAAAAAAAAAAAAAAAAAAAAAAAAAAAAAAAAAAAAAAAAAAAAAAAAAAAAAAAAAAAAAAAAAAAAAAAAAAAAAAAAAAAAAAAAAAAAAAAAAAAAAAAAAAAAAAAAAAAAAAAAAAAAAAAAAAAAAAAAAAAAAAAAAAAAAAAAAAAAAAAAAAAAAAAAAAAAAAAAAAAAAAAAAAAAAAAAAAAAAAAAAAAAAAAAAAAAAAAAAAAAAAAAAAAAAAAAAAAAAAAAAAAAAAAAAAAAAAAAAAAAGAAAGATGGAGAGAAAATTGAAAGAGCACAATGGCGAGACAAGGCGGGTCACTAAAATTTTCATTCATAAATGCAATAAGATAGCAGTAAAGGTGTGCCCCACCTATGTCAGAGTACAGAGGCGGATATCACTCTGGAATTTCTATTGTATCAGTTGTCACATAGATTGCATGGTATATCTATAAAATCCATGATGTCAGTTCAGGCGTTGAACTCTTTAAAAGATTTTTTTCTTGTTGCGTTTTTCTGTTCAGTGCTGCGTGCAATTATTAGGAATCTTTCAAATTCTCAATCCAAAACCTCAATATTATAGTTTCTTAATAGCTTTTTGCGGTTACCCACTGTCTGTTGCGTGTTGTCACCTCGAAACATATTGATAAACATTTATCATTTTTTTCTTTTCACTGCATCATCTATTTCGATATTCTGTAATCACGTGGTCTGTCATAAGTCGAAAGAGTTTCTAGCGGCAAACCTTAACAAATAATTCTGGATGAAATAAATGAGTGCTAAAGTTGAATGGTCAGTATATTTCTAAAATTCTCTCTGATTACCTGAGAACATTATACTTGGAACTTGGCAAAGGCTATACAAAAGAGGTGGCTGAGTGACTTTACCTCGCTCCTGTCAATTTAAAAATATTGCCTCACTTTCATATTACGATAGAAAATTTCTCAATATTCCAACTATTTGTTAATTTGTTATATCATATTCTGAAAAATATCACTCTCTCTCTCTCTCTCTCTCTCTCTCTCTGACAGATGCTAAAAGTTTGGACGTTGGGAAATTCAATGATACACATTGAAATCGTCACAGTAGTTATTTATCTAATCAAAGAAAGAATTAATTGCACAATAGGATTTCATTTCGAAAGGACAATTGATAGATATGATTTCTGTAGAGATCAGCGGTCTTATACAACATAAGTTTTTAACTCCAAGTAACGATAATGCTCACGTACATTGTTTTGCAATATCTGAATTCCAATCATTTTCTTACGACACCTGTGCGCCGTTGATTGCGTTGAATCCTGCGTAATCTGTCGAATTAGGATTATTGTCTCAATTTTCAGAAATAATGAGTGAATCTATTAGTATAATAAGGCTGATTATCATTATATGAAACAGATGATCCTTTCCCCCAGCCCTCTCCCCAGACATAGACATAGACATAGACATAGACATAGACATAGATTATTGTGAAAACTTTTTTTCTACTCAATTATACAGATATAATATCAAGTGTGCTGAGATTACACAGATTAGTAATTTAAATGTCAATGTTAATGCCTAGAACTAGAATGTTCTCCAGGAAGGGGAATAAGAAATGAAAAATTATCATGAAAATATGTGATGACTGATAACAATTGAACGCTCAAGGCGGTGTAAATGTTACGGGGCATTAATGTAGGGTCCTCGATATAGTAGGAAGGAGATCACATTGTCTGCTGGGTGTGTCGCTAATATCTTTCAACAGGGCACAGAGGGGTGGGGCAATTCATTGCGAATCTCTATAAATTGAGCGATTCATTGTTGAGTCAAGTCATGTGGACGTTGAATTTGCAACTATATCGTTGTCGTCATTATCATATCATCAGCAATTAAACAAACGAAAATGTTTTATTTTGTAAGTAACTTAATAACTATTTGACTGGTGGACAAGGCATATAAAATAAGTTTGCTTGATTTTTCCCTTTCAAGATATTACCCTTGGGCTGCTTGATTACGCTCGTCCTGAGCGAACCTCAGTGGACGGGGGGGGGATATGCCAGCAGCCCACATGGTGCTGCACCTTTGGGAGCCGATGGCCGTGTCGTCGATACACCTGAAGTTCAGGCTGCAAAAACTTCACATTTGGCCGCCCTCGCTGATGCCTCTGCCAGAGCTGGAACCCCACCCAATAGCTACAGCACTCCCAATCTATGGAATAATCATGGATGGAATGGATCACCTCCTCCATATGCTCACAGCGCACAGTATGGAACACGCTATCAGTAGGCTCATATATGCAGCCACAGTGCTTAAATCATGGCATCATGTGCCACTCTCAAACAAACTTGAATTTCATAATTTACTCTATTGTATTTTTCATTTCAGTGGTCCCCCAGCTCCTCTTGGTCCCGACGGAAGGGTTGTTGACACACCCGAGGTTGCTGCAGCCAAAGCTCATCATTTTTCACTCTATAACAATGCCGTTGCTCCTCCTGCTCCTTCTCTTTCTCCTCATGGTCACTATGATTCCGGTGCATACAATCCAGCTTGGGACGGCCCAGCACATGATGGCTCATGGAATGCTAATGCTCATAATTATTGAATAATCCTTTCAACTACTGTTATCCGTATCATTCACAAACACTTATTGTCGTTTTTTTTCCTCCTCTACCTCAAATAAGGGAGAACACCGCGACTACTGGTCCGCCTTCTCCAATAATCATGCAGTATCATCTCGATTTTATAATTCCCAATTGAGATAAATGTCGGACGAAATTATTTCTCTCAAATTTAATTTTCCTTTTTTTCTTCATTTTTGTGCGGATAATGAATATGAATAATCCAAATTGAGATATTGCGGTGGTTGTTTTTATGGTGATCAATGAATTGAGAATAATAAAATGAATACACTTATTTGATTACAAGAATTTGGTAGATAATTTATTCTGAAGGCGCGGTGAAAAATAAACGTCATGGCCAGTTGACACTCGACATTGTATAAATTCTCTATTTCTATACGGTGAACACAATCAATGAGGGGAATCGATCACGGTAACACGGCAGTATCCATTTCTGCTGCTGTCGTAAAGACTTTCTTAATTGACAATGCCAAATTAATTACCATTATTATTACATGGAGACATTCAATATTTAGAAATAAAGAAAGAACACAGATGATCTTTATCTCAACAGTGGTAATTCTCAACAGTTGTCATTGATGTAGTGTTGCCTATTGGCAATTGTAGCACGGCTTTGGCCTCGGCAACTTCTCTCGTATCGATGACTACACTATCAGGCGCTCGTGGTGCCAATGGACCATGATATACCGATGTTTTATGGCCAATTGTGTAGGCAACGTGTGAATTAGGCAATAGAACTAAGTGATTAGCATCGGCATCATCCTTATTCCAAACAATTGCAACTTGGCCGTACGGTTTTTCAATGTTTTTCAGTGCCTCAGCATGACCAGCCAGTAGATAAGCGGCCTTGATCCGAGAAACATTTCAATGATAAACCTCCGTATTCTTCCTTTTACGTAAAAAACAATGATGATAATAATAATAATGAGAAACATCCTCAGCACCTAGAGGAGCCGGAGGGCCATTATTGTATCACTATTCACTAGTAACTCGTCATTCTCTGAATCGGGCTGCGATCCAGCTACAACTGCAAGTGTGGGCCACTTGTGGTGTTTCTATATTACTCTACCATCATCGGAGAGTGGTGCAAGGGCTCCATCATAGCCACCGTAAAATCCAATGTGTCCAATAAAAAATCACCTAAATTCAGATTGTTCAAAATAAATAAGAAATTATTTATTGAGCGCGCGCATAAATAAGTCTCTACATACTTACGAAAAATAATGTTGTCATGTTGATTTCCGATAACAGCTTGACTCAATAGTGCACTTCTATAGCCTTTTATATATCGTCCTGATGACGTGCTGTGGTCATCCGCGCCGTACCGGCCATGGCAAACGATTTCAAACTTATTGGTCTTATTGGTCTCGCTAATAAACTTCAACTATATATTCCACTGCTCAACTAGAATTACAATTAGTAATGATACTCATGGTAAACTATACTATAGACTCTCTCTCTGTTTCATTTGTAGCATCATTCCAAAAAATAAAAATAAACATGGAAGGAAAACCATCTATCAGCAATTGTACCGTTGAAATACTTTTGCAACGTTGTGACCTTTTTCGGCGATGATGCTCGAGATACTCGAGATACTCTTCCTCCAAGTTGTACTTCTCCGCCTAGCATGATGAGCCATTATGCTCGTGACCTATTTCGCAATGCAAATCGTCTTGGATCTCGATACAAATACCCTTCCACAGTGTGCACATTAAAATATATTCTTCCGCTTTTATTATACTGCTTCAAAATTTCATGAATTCTCTGGCTTTTTGATAGAGGTAGAGCGGGAGAATTTTTCATAACACGATGATTAAATGTATCGCTGAATAATAATAATAATAATCATTGCTTTAAACATTTATCTATTCCATTATCCGCAACGAGTTATGCCATTATTGTCTACTGTGGTTTATGGGCAGGCTCAATATTGTGTTTATACCATAATATCTAAAACCACCGATTTTACTATCCACAATATATTTTTTCCAACTATGTACCTCTGTTATATTTCGTCATGAATTGTTCTCTTCAATGTAAAGGGAGCAAATTGTTTGTGAAAAAAAAACACACACACACAAACCACAATTTTCATAGAAAATGCAATTTATTATTGGCCTAAATTATTTACAATTCAGATTGGTTGGAAAAAAACAACAAGTTTGAAAAAAAAAAACACTCGTATTTAGTAAGATCCTAGAAGGTGCTGCGATTGATATCCGGAATACGCCTGGGGTGTCGTATAGGCGTAGTTCTGAGGAGCACCGTACGCTAGAAAGAAAAAAAGAAAAATAAAAGCAAATATGACCATGAATGAATGTTGAATGATGAAAAATGAAGAAAAACATACTATTGAAAAAGTGATATTTACCGTGCTCCTCTTGAGGGCCAGCATTCTTATAAGCCCTAGCCTCGGCCTCAGCAAGTTCAGCGAGTCGGGAGGCTTTCAATGCGGCTACCTCAGGAGTGTCGATGACAGTTCCATCCTCAGCAAGTGGAGCAGGCTGAAATGGTTGTTTGCTTGGTGCGGCATAATGTGCATGCTGTTGCTGAAGATAATTAGCTGCTGCTGGTGGTGAGTAATGCTGTGGTGCTGGTCTATAGTGTGAAACGGGGCCATGGGCAGGGGCAGGATGAGAATACGCTTGATGAACGGGATAAGATGGTCCTGATGATGATGGAGTATAATGATCCTTTTGCTGAGCGGCACGCTGTGCGGCTCGGCTAAATTCAGCAAAGTGTGCGGCTTTTGCATGCTGAACTTCTGGAGTGTCGATGACATTTCCATCAGGTCCCACTGGCGCTGGGGGTTCGAATTTTGCTTGATGATGATATTCACCACCATATCCCGGATACTGAGCTTGGCAAGCGACGGCCATTGTCACAAGAACAAAAATCTATGGAGACAAAAAATATGATGAAAATAGTTGAGAGATATCAATGAATGGATAGGAACTATCAGTAGAGATGAGGAATAACTGAACATAACTTACCAAACGATTCATTTTGTTATTTTAATGAATAATATAATGCGCTGCTGGTTTATCAGTACTCGCTATAGGCTCTCTCTCTCCCTCTCTCCCTCTCTCTCTCTCTGTAATCCAAAGCCTTTGAAGACTCAATTGCGTTTGTCTTCCTGGTGAATGGTCCTACTTTTATATAGCACTGCTGCCTCCCCGCTACTTTACCTTTATCTCTGTTGCCCCCCTCGGAACGTTCAAATACCAGCTTTTCATCAGGGCCTACACGTTATGTGTACACAATAACAGAGCTGACTTGGGAACGCTTTGAAAATTTAATCGGAGTAGCCCGGCGGCCGCTCTCTTTTCCACCCATAAGGAGGTATCCTTTGTCACTATACTCTGATATTTGGCCTTGACATTTTCATCGCATGAGACAACTCTGAATCGGACAATGACCATTCATATCAAGTTCATTTCATATATTATTTCCATCATTAATACTTTCAGTAATTTCCATCAATACCATTTTCCCAGCACCATTGCAGCGAGAGTCAGTTATTGCACCAAGCTCTATTGATTTCTATAGATAATTATTAAAAAAAGACAAAGAAAAAGCACGAGCGAGGCTTGCGCTTAGATTAATCATCGCAGTGTAGTGCTGATGATTAATGGATAATTAATGGACACTGTGATGGAAAGCAGTGGCTATATGTATTGTATTACATTACCATATCCTACAGGTAAACATAGGTGCACACATCCTTTGCAGAACCTTCGTCCTTGATCATTCGTGTGTCCGCCGCGTACTTTTCTAATTTTTTCAATTAATTTTTTTATCGAATGAAAATATTTAGCATTATAGGCTTTATTCATTTTTCAAAATATTTATTATCATTAAAAGAAAAATAAAAAGGCTTAAAAGGGTTCATTTTTCATCATAAATCATTTGACAAAATTTCAATTAATAATTGATTGTTTTAATCGGCGATTACAATTCAATGATAGTTGTGAATTGATGGCGATGGCAGGTAAAGGTAGTTTGCATTGTATTTAGCATTGATGTGAGCAGCAGCATGTTCGGCTTTTGCAAGGGCAACCTCGGCGGTGTCAACAACCCTACCATCAAGGCCAATCGGTGCACCAGACTGGGCTTTAGTGATGACTGACAGTGGGGAAACTATCGCTGGACTAACGTAGGCTGCAATAATTGCTGGAGAACTATTTTTCAGTTTCTCATTAAGATGAGCTGCAGCATGTTCAGCCTTAGCAAGCGATACTTCAGGAGTATCAACAACGCGTCCGTCAGGACCAATGGGAGCACCAGTTTCCATTTTAGCATAAGCTATTGGAAGAGCATATGCCGTCAATGGTGATGATGCTTGGACAAGAGCAACGCCACCAATAATGCACAAAACAATAATCGGCTGAAATTAAAAAACCACTTGAATAAACAGTATTTGAGTGGGCTAATGAAATTTTTGTAAAACTCACAATAGTTTTCATGATGCTAGATAAATATATGAGCTACTCAAGCGCTGCCGGTAATAATCAGTATTCGCTGAGAAACTGTTCCGATTGTGATGAAACCTCAGCTTTATATACATCCAAGACACTCAATACTGCATCAATTTACTGCATCACTCTACTCGGCATTGAAAATTCTGCAGCCTGAGGCGTTGTATTCGTGATGTCCTTGATTAAATCCCAATTGAAATAATTTGGATCGTTAAATTGCCACATTCTCTCTTTCTCTCCCTTAATTCATACAGATAGACAAAGACCGTCCTTGAAAGCGAACACGAATTTATCGAGAAAGAGAAAGAGAGAGAGAGAGAGAGAGAGAAGTAATTGAGCGACAGAATCCACAATAATTAGTGGATTTTTTATATGCAAAATTATTGATCGAACAACGAGTGTCGGATGTTGCGGTCAATATTAGTACCTTGACTTTATCGAATTTCATATTATATTTCAAATTGTACAGCTTACTGATGAGTATAAAAGTGCAAACACCAACGGTTCCATTGTATTTGCAAGTCCTCTTAATCCATTTAGTAGCTGCACCAATTGACCCAGATGGACGGCTTGTCGACACCGTCAATGTGGCAATTGCCAAAATGAAGCATCCTGCCACCGCTAAGCAGAATCAACAGCAATGAGTCTTGATAATCAGGAGGTACTAGCTGCTGTAGAAGCCACAGAGCCTGATGGGTCATTGACACGTTGCAAGTGGCCCTTGTCAAGATATAGCACGATAACGCCCAACTCATGGAGAAGGTCAACCACGGCAATGCCGCTGTGGCCGCCAGGACTGGTCCTTCACCCCTCTCATTACAATCGACAGACAACACGAAAATTTATAGATAAATTGATTGACAAAAGAGCATGAAATGGCAGTTGTTAAAATGAAAAAAAAAAACAAAAAAAAATTACAGTAACAATTAAAATGGAATTGATTGCTTCTTCATTAATCTTCATGCCGGGAAACCCAGAGATTATAAGGAATCTCTGGGAAACCGGTGTAAATTCAATTTAAATAATTCTGAGACAATCCTCATGAACGACGGATTTTTTTAAATTTTACCGGTAATGGAAGAAGAGTAGATGCTTGTGGGTAGTCCCTAAAGCTTGTCATACTTGGCTTGCTATACTTGTCTTCTGTCATAATAATAAGGAGATCGAACCTTATCTCACAGTAGTTCACATTTTACTGATAATGTAATTTGCTCTCGCTCATTTCCTCAATAAACACATAGGATTAAAAATGTCGCGGTTTTTGTGGTGCAGTTTCATTGTATTTATAACTGTGATGGACATAGGTAACCTCATTATTTTCCAACTTGATTCTTTGCACACTTGCGAAATTGAATGAAATGAATAAACCAATGCAAGAATTTACTCAATTTTAGCCTCAACGAAGAGAATCAAAGACATGATTTACATGTCCATTGATGGAGTGTCAGCCTGTTTTCGAAGACACAATGGAACCCATCAGTTTGGATGCTCCTGTGAGTAGTATTCATCTTGGAAATGTCTCAGACATTTTTTCTATAAAATTCCCTACAAATAAATGAACCTTATCAAATTTAAATATTTTATTAAAAATTGTCTGGAAAAATGAAATTGAAGGAAGGAAAGAAAAAAAAGAAAGAATTAATAAAATTAGATTTTTCTGTGGACTCTATTCTATTCTGATATTTTCTATAGAAATTCCTCAGCTCAAATTTTTCAAGTTTTTTCTTTGATTATTTTTTATAAAAAGAAAAGAAAAATAATGGAGAAATTTTTTTGAAGATTCATGTCGATGAATTCATATAGAAAATGTCTCAATAGAAAAAGTTATAAAAGCATAATAAAATTCTACAGCTTTTTTTTCAATTATTAATTTTCTATTATCGATGATTTCACTTGATAAACTTGTTGTTGTTGTTGTTGATCATCAGCTCAGAGAGGAGGGAGTGTTGGGGTAATCCAAATGGTGGAGAGCCTCGAGGACGTGCAGTGGCTGGAGAGTAACGCCACTGCGGGTCCCTACACAGCTGTGATGCCATTCTCCATGTTCACCAAAGACGTGTTACATCGTCTTCGAGGGACGAATAACATTAATGGAATTCTATTAGCGAAAAATAGTAGCCACTCACTTCCGTCCAGTTATTCACCCGAAGATACATGTCCAAATAGATATTCTGGATCAAAGGCGTGTGACGCTGCGAAACCTTGGAATCCCTGGGGAAATAACATTCTCCATGAAGACTGGCCATTTCCCATGTTTTATGTTCAGGTAAATATATTACCTTTAGTAATGATTATTGGAAGATTACGGAATGAATTAGTCTTGACCTGCCGAATTCTATAGAAAATGCTATTGGCTTTTTATTGAACAATTCCGCAGTTTTTCTATTTTTTTACTGCAAATGTTCAGTAGATAATCTTTCCATACTTTTTCGATTGAGAGACATGTTCTCTATGAGAATTCTTCGACATAAATTCTTGACATGAACATGGGTTCTCTGTCGAATAATTTGGAAAAACGCTATAATTCTAGAACGACACACTCCTCCACGAGATAAGAGCCTGCTACACGAAGCACAACGCTCACGACCGTGATTCCCAACGAGACCGCTCCCTGTGTGCCCTCGAGATGCAATCGTTCATGTCAGCAGCAGTGGACTCCGAGACGTGCATCAGAAGGAACAACCTGATCCTCTATATGAATCCAACGCGGTTCTGCGACCCCTTGGGAGACAGGAACATCCACTGGCCCTTGGCACCCCTGACGAACACCACCAACTCGATGACCCTCGTGATCGCCCGACTCGACGCAAACTCAATGTTCGACACAGTCGCCCCAGGTGCCAACAGCACAGTGACAAGCCTGGTGAGCCTCCTGGCGACCGCCTACTACATCAACTCCCTCAACGCCACAGCCAGCGCCAACAATGTTCTCTTCTCCCTTCTCAACGGCGAGTCCTTCGACTACATCGGCTCCAGTCGCTTCGTCTACGACCTGAAGGAGGGAAATTTCAACGCCCTAGCCGGCAGAAACCTCCCTCTGTCCACCATAACAACAGTCATCGAGCTCAACCAGCTGACAGACGATAAACTCTTCATCCACACCAACAACGACTCCCCCAACAGCCTGATCTCCTCCTTGAGGGATGCCCTGGGAGGGACTATCCTCCAGGGAAGCGTTCCCCCCACCTCGATACAGAGTTTCCTGGGGGCTAAACCTAGTCTACCAACTGCTCTGATCGCCTCTTATGGCAAGCAGTTCCACAATCCCTATTACCAAGGTATCCTCGACAATTCAGAAACCCTTGGGATCGATAAGAAGCCCATCAACAAGACCCTGGCGAACATAGCTGTGAAACTTGGGGATGTACTGTATGAGCACGTGACCGGGGACAAGTCACCAGGGGGAAATGGCACCTTCATCGAGGAGTTGATTACCGAGATGCTATCGTGTTATCTCACGAGTGCTCAGTGCAGTCTATTCCAGGCAGCATCTCCACCAGGTTTGTAATTTTTCATTTTTACACTTACTGTTTTTTTTTACCACATCCATTTTAAAGATTACATTGATTATTAATAATTTATTATAACAGATTGATACTGGGCTTATTTTAAATTCCTACAGGTGTTAAACCAGTTAATCACCCACTTCCCCTTTATGTGAGTGTCGCCACCAGTCGCAACCCAGCGACAAGCCTGACAGGACAATTACTAGCACTTTTGACAGGGGAAATGTTGAACATGACAGCACACGAGTGCCACGATCACAGACTAACCTGGATGGGGGGATACTCCTTCAATGGTGTATGCATTAATTCAACAGTTAATTACACCTCTGCTGTCAGCCCAGCCTTTATCATCCCCGGGTATTCGATGAAGTCAGGGCTTTACTCCACGTGGACAGAGTCCATCTGGCAGACACTCAGTGTTCGCATGTTCCTGAAACCCTCCGACACTGTTGAGAGGCTGACCATCAGTCTCGGGAGCATTGTCGCTGGGCTGTCCTTCATTGTTGTCTGGTTCATCAACTCCAGGGCTCATCTGCTCTTCGAGACTAGCAGGACACCTGCCTGCTAGGACAACGCCGCGGACCACATATCAATGACGAGGCTTGGGGAGAGGAATTTTGGGGAGGTTCCTGTCACCAGCCTGTGAACATGAGCTTTTTTCGGCTGGAGGTGGAATTTTGTGTGTGGTGCGCCCTCGGACGTTATTTATTTTAGATCAGTTTTATTTCGTGAATTAACAGCAATTAATGGTTTTTTTTGGATGCCAAGGGAAATGAATTCACATTACGCAGGAAAAAATTTCATAGAAAAATCTTGCGAATTTGATGGAAAAACTCCTATTGAATGATTTTAAAAATTCTATTATTTTTTTTTATATTAGCCCATTTTATTGCAGCATTTCGATAATTTTTATGGAAAATGTCCAATAGAAACTATTTTGCAAAAAAAAAAATTTCATCTTTGTATAGGAATTCCTCGATATGAATTTCTCGAGTTTTTTTTCACTCTATTTTTCTGCCCCCCCCCCCCACACACACTCTTTTAATTAAAAAAATCAAATGAAAAACTTGAGAACTTTAGACCGATGAATTTCTATAGAAAGTATCTCAATGAAATGAGATGTACGGATATCCAAGTACAGTAATTTTGATGTTTCAATCATCAAATTTATTAATTTAATTGCAACAAAGAATGTGAAGAGGATAATTAGTGTTATTTATTTAAAAAAACATTTCGAGATCATTTTTTGTTTTTAATGATTTTTAAAACGAGAAATCGATTGTTCATAGATGTTTTATGAATGAATATGTAATTTTTCCAATGAAAAATATAAAAATATTCAATATCAAATTTTTCAATTATTTTATGAATCTTTCATAAAAAGCAGGCTCTCTATTTTTTTTCATTTTAAAATCTTTGCCAACAGTTCAAATTGAAAAATCGAATTAAAACAAATAACATTCTGATAAAAAAGAAATCGTGAACCATAGCAATGCTTGAATATTCTCATGATTTATGCAATTAAAAAAAGTTTAGGTACAAAATAATTTGAATTCATGTCATTCAAAAAAGTCCTAAAATTTAATTTATCAACAACTCATTAATTTGCATATCCTCAACTGTTTTTGATCGTTCTGTTACGATTTTTTTCCTATAAATTAAGTTATGATGTAGCTCAATTAATTAATGATTGAATGTAATTATAACGTACGACTTTGTTTCCTTTTTTATTAATAAATCCATGAACAGTGTTTTGTATACGTCGTACTACGAAAAATGGTACTTTCTAAATATATTTATTCAAGAGTAAAAAATAATTCAAATTAGTAAATCAACTTCATTGCAAGCGTGATGGCATTTATTATCAATAAACTTAATTAACATGGCGTAGAGATGTACACGAGGAACATAATTATTCAATTAATTATCGTGTAATCAATTGTTCTTCTCTTATTAATTACGCAATGCATTTATTCATAGGGTATATTTATTAATAATTCCATATCGTATAGTATTACTTTGAAAAATTTGTTCATCAATTCTTCATATTTTTATTTTCAATTTGATTTTTTATCGATTTCCGGGGGTATGGAGTAGGTAGAACAATTCTCACAATCTCAATATATCATTCAAGAAAATAGCAATTAAACGTACGAATAATTGCAATTGGAAATATTTTATCATCGGAAAAATGGTACAAACAATCAACGTTCCTTTGAAATTATGAAATCAATTCACAGAAATGAAGAAAAAAGACATTAATGACAATCATTCACCACTCGTCATTTACATATTCTCGATTGAATCGCAATGGATGCTTTGAGGTGGTGCTCAGCATCAGTTCAACGATGAAATTCGCACCATTGGGGTGCATTCAGGGAAGAATACACGAACCCATTTTGAATTGTCAATTTCACAAGGAATTAAATTAAGCGAGGGCTTCTGCTAATTTTTGAATTATGTTTACATTTTTATCAGTCAACGCATAGAGTGCAATGCACTTTGCACCTTGTTGTTTATTACTAATTTTAATTAAATTTTTTTTTTCCATTCACTTCCCAAGGTATTGTAGAACAGTATTATTTTCATCAAGGTGCAGTGTGTGAATTGGGAGGCCGGGCACCGCCCACCGAGCTATCACAGTCGTCTGGTGCCGCAGCACATATACGTATACATGGTTCAGCCTTAAAACCTATACTTTTACATGTTCATAGTTTGAATCGTCGTTTTTTTTTTTTTTTTCATTTTTTATGTTGGTTGAGTAAAAATTATCCAGTGGGAAAGTGGAGAACGCGATTTGACGATTATTACGGATTATATTGATGATGGGAAATTGTCTCGATGACAAGATTTTCAGGAAATTTTCAGACTTTTTTTTTGCAGATGAAGGGATTCTTTATGAAATCCAGACTATTTCACCAAATATTGAAAATTTAGAAAGTTTCATTTCATCCTATTGTTAAGCCAAAAAATCAATTAATCACGTCCTACCACTGCCCACCAAATGAACAACTGTATAATCGAGCACAGTATTCACAATGCAACGGACATTACATAATTCGTTGTACAATCGATGAACAGTAGATGAAATAAACATAATTTCCGTGCAATGCACTGTACCCCCCTCCACTGTCTCCAAACAATATAGTCACACCATCAAGCATCAATTACCAATCAAAGTGTACAGTATGTATACCATCACCAAGAATATCAAAAATATCGTTTGACCATCTGTGGCACGCGAAAAATTATCAATTACGAAATTAATTGGAAAATATTGAACCGCACTGGACGGACCATCGTTGATCATTAATTCAAGAAAAATTCTGAACAATCGTTTGCAGACAGTGTATACATGCACCTCCCCAATGAAAAAAAAAATGACCTGCGTGCGTACATGGCATTGTCACAGTGAAAATAAATTTTGAAATTCTAAAAAAAAAATCATCCACAAATTTATCGTCATTACAATAACTATCTTGGTTATTTATCTCTATCATTAGGAATATCAATATTACTTCAAGTTTTGTTCTTTGCATTTAGTCTTAAAAACGGTCGTTTAATATTCAATTTTAACATTAAATTCCTAATAAACGCTCGGTATATAATTATGTACAGCAAGTACCGTTGCGCATCTTGAAAAAATTACCGCTGCGGCACATGCATCGAGACGACACGTAGAGTTTAAAAATATAATTGTTATATATTTTGAATTTTAAGTAGAATTATATTATTCAATGAATTTTTATTTTTATTTTTATTTTTTTTATTTTTTTACTTTTTATCATTATTATCTTGGAGGGACAGCACTTTGCTACGTCACGACGATGCAGAGCTGAACAAAGACTATACCTGAAACGTCGACACGCTCTCCAATGGCACTATTACTCAACTTAATGGATACGGTAGTCAATAATTCTGCTGTTAATGTGGATTTTACTTCGGTGATGATTAATTTTTTTTTAATGAATCATCAGCAAAGGGATTTCGTTGCCACATTACGACGGAATTCTCCGAGGTAAAAAAAGAATAGTTTTATCAGAGTTTTGGGCACTATTACTTGATCTACGCTTGAAGTATAGGGAATTGGAAGATTGCAGGAAGCTTCAGCTGTTGTAAATCATTGGGAATTGTTGAAAAACAAAAAAGAATCTTTGCACGTGAAATGAAAATTTAAAAAAATTATAGAAAAACCAGGAGTTTTCCGGAGAAATTTCATTGGTTTTTTTTATTGGAAAAAGTCCAGAGATTTTATTGTGAGAAATGAGTAAAAATACAGTGGGAAAAACTCCGTAAATTTGCGATGGAATTTTTTATATATAAAGGATAATATATAAAGAAAAAAAAAGAAGATTTATTGGCTTTTTTCTATCAAATGTTTCTTGGCAAAATGACACAAAGCGAAAAACTGAATTATTTTATAAAATTTTATCACAACTCCAATAGAATTTCTAAAGAAAAGTTTTTCTACTAAATTTTGTGACAATGACTTCATCTATCCTTGAAATATATGAGATTGGAAGAATGTGGGAAGCTTCGGTAATTATAAATCATTGGTAATTGTGAGTGAATCTTTGACATAATAAAAAATAACTGATAGAAAAACCTAGGGGTTTCTCTAATAAATTCTACTGGAGTTCTGTTGGAATGCATATTTTTTATATAAAAATGTCTATACATGTGAATTTTTTAGAATCCAGAGTTTTGTAAGAATTTTCCAATCGTTTGTTTAAATTTTATTATAAGAAATTAAAAATCACACAGTTACATAATCTTGAATAGAATTTCAAGCCAACTCCAATAAAAATTCAACAGAATTTCCTAAAGAAAGCCCCAGGTCTCTCAACCTTGAAAATTATTTTCGTAAATTTGCTAACCAAACGAGAAGAAAAAATATTGATGAAAAGATATCGATGACAATGACCAGTCGTCCACACGAGAGCGTGACAACATGGCTCAACGTACCCCTGATAATCGCGTGAATGATTATGTGTTTAACAGTTAAAGCGATATCTAACCTCGAATACCTTAATACTGTAATGAGCAACTGGTTACGAAGGTACCACAATGAGGTCGATGTCGATTTGTAGGGTAAAGGTCAGTGAATATCGTCCTCATCGCTTTCATTGTCATACTTTGATCTGGCACCCCCATCACCGTCGCTTGATCCTGAATCACTTGCTGAATCGTCCGATGGCCAGCCACTTGGTTGGACCTGCTGGGATCCAGTGTTTTGTTGTACCGATTGAAGGTGATACTGAGGTTGTACAACGTGCTTCATGACTTTGTGCCTTTTTCCAGTGCGTGGCAATGCCTCGGCGCCAGCACCGTCCAACATTGGCTGGAGAATTCGTCGACGTGCATTTATAAACCAATTGTTCACTTGGAGAAGGGTCAGATTCGTTTGACTCGCTATCTGACGTTTCTCATCTTCTGTTGGGTAGGGATGCTGTGAAAGACAAAATTATGCATTTCTTAGATTATTACATTATTTCATGGCTTATTATACCTGAATAATACTTTATTCATCTCGAATGTAATTGATATTTTACATTTCTGTCATCTCTTACGTAAAAATAGTATATAAGAAGGGAAAAAATTTACGTATTACTCTTTACTGTCTATCCGTGTAGACAAGTATGAAAAAAATTTGAAATTTCAAGCAAGCTGGGGAATTGTCATTTTTCTGTTTAAAAATTTAGCAATTCCATTTCTTCTTTGCGCCAATTTATATTGAAAATTATGCAGCTGTGCCTTGTATTTCTCAATAGCTTTTTTTCATATAAAAAATCCATAGATGTTAATTTTCTTATGATAATTCTTGGGCATAAATTTGCTGAATGAAAAAAAATCAGTGCAAAAAATGAATGGATTAAAAAAAAAAAAATTCAGAGCCTTTTAATGGGTAATGTTAAATGTCAAACTCACAACCAAGTGTTGAAACAGCCATGCACGCATGATGCTAGTGGCCTGTTTCGGTAGAACCCCTCGTTTCTGTCTACCTCCCTTTCTACTGCTCCCATTGGCCCCAGTATGACTCGACGAGGCATTCCCACAGCCGTCCTCATCGTCCTCACTCGCTGCTGGCGAGGGGGAGCCTGCAACAGTTATGTCTGCCCAAAAAATCACTCGTTATTCATCTGTCACTTGAATCCTAAATCGACATTCTGAAATAATTGCACAGAGAAACTTTCGAAAATAAGAATACCAAAGTATTTATTGTAGTTAGTGTGACAGACATCCCCATACTCATTCTCACGCTCCTGGAGTGGCACAAGTCCCCAGTAACCAGCCTCCTCAACGTAAATTCTATCGTTCAAGTATACGTCTTTATCAATGAGGGGATCTAGGATCAAGGGATGGATTGAGAGGCTTTCTGTGTAAAGTTAATGTGTGGAAGAATTGAGGGAACCTTGATTTGATTAAATAATGTATATATGGAAAAAAAGATTTAATAGAAAAAGCCAACGCTTCCTCTGGATAACTTGAAAAATTTGTTTTTTTTTTTTGGGGAATTTTATGAAATGAGTTGAAAGTGATCGAACACCCCCTCCCATTTTCAAATATTTCTTGTAATTATTTATCTCGATTATCTCCAGATGGCCCTCAACTCGTTTCATTCAGTTCATCTCAGTTGGCTGAGAATTCAAAGTGCAAAGTTCGTTTCAATTTAGAGAAAAAATAATAAAGTAAAAATGTATCAGTCAAATGCATTTTAGTAAAAAATTGCATCTTTCTTGAACAAAAGCTCGCAAAGAAAGCGTTAGTTTCCCCCATTAAAACCTCCATACAAACGACGAAAAGCAGATAATTGCTATTCAACTGACCTTGGCCAAGGTACATGTCACTGACAGAAGAACAGGGATGAGCACCGATCTGTGACAGTGGTGTGCTCCCATGAACAGTGGATGGCGATGGTGGATCATCCTGATCCTGACTGTCCGATCTCACCGAGTGCTGAGCGATTGACGCTGATCTCGGTGGCCTCTCAACAATGCTACCATCAATCTGCAGGGCACCCTGGCTGAAGGTGCTCCCATTCTCCGAAAGTGCATCACCTCTGCTTACTCCGAGTCCGTTAGTTCCCGGCTCAACATCATTGCCTGTAGATGACAGCACCTGGCAAATATATGTCGCATCTAGCCGTCAGAGAGCAGGGGTGGGATTCTATCGTATCTTAAGAGGTGTACAATTACCCTATTTTTATAATTTATTAACTTATCGAGAGTTATTAATCACGCATGAGAAAGTTTAACAGAAAAACCTGGCTCTATATGTGAATAATCTTCAAGTTTTATTAGAATTCTATTGGAGAGTTATATTTTAGTAGTAAAGCTGTGTTTCACAGGTTCAAGTTGACTTTGTTCTTCTTAGCTGAGTTTTTGAGGAATATCTCCGAATCTAGGGAAGATGGCGGAATTTTCGTAAAGACCTTTTTTACTTGTAGCCCTCGTAGATTCCGGCATATTCAGAGAAAACTGACGAATAGTAAGAATCGATTTGAACCGGTTTACCACTTCGTTCATGTATTTTTTGTACCATTTCTACAGGAGTTTATGCAACTTTAACGTGGCATTTTGTTGAGAGATTTTTTTTTTTTAAANTTTTTTTTTTTTGGGGAATTTTATGAAATGAGTTGAAAGTGATCGAACACCCCCTCCCATTTTCAAATATTTCTTGTAATTATTTATCTCGATTATCTCCAGATGGCCCTCAACTCGTTTCATTCAGTTCATCTCAGTTGGCTGAGAATTCAAAGTGCAAAGTTCGTTTCAATTTAGAGAAAAAATAATAAAGTAAAAATGTATCAGTCAAATGCATTTTAGTAAAAAATTGCATCTTTCTTGAACAAAAGCTCGCAAAGAAAGCGTTAGTTTCCCCCATTAAAACCTCCATACAAACGACGAAAAGCAGATAATTGCTATTCAACTGACCTTGGCCAAGGTACATGTCACTGACAGAAGAACAGGGATGAGCACCGATCTGTGACAGTGGTGTGCTCCCATGAACAGTGGATGGCGATGGTGGATCATCCTGATCCTGACTGTCCGATCTCACCGAGTGCTGAGCGATTGACGCTGATCTCGGTGGCCTCTCAACAATGCTACCATCAATCTGCAGGGCACCCTGGCTGAAGGTGCTCCCATTCTCCGAAAGTGCATCACCTCTGCTTACTCCGAGTCCGTTAGTTCCCGGCTCAACATCATTGCCTGTAGATGACAGCACCTGGCAAATATATGTCGCATCTAGCCGTCAGAGAGCAGGGGTGGGATTCTATCGTATCTTAAGAGGTGTACAATTACCCTATTTTTATAATTTATTAACTTATCGAGAGTTATTAATCACGCATGAGAAAGTTGAACAGAAAAACCTGGCTCTATATGTGAATAATCTTCAAGTTTTATTAGAATTCTATTGGAGAGTTATATTTTAGTAGTAAAGCTGTGTTTCACAGGTTCAAGTTGACTTTGTTCTTCTTAGCTGAGTTTTTGAGGAATATCTCCGAATCTAGGGAAGATGGCGGAATTTTCGTAAAGACCTTTTTTACTTGTAGCCCTCGTAGATTCCGGCATATTCAGAGAAAACTGACGAATAGTAAGAATCGATTTGAACCGGTTTACCACTTCGTTCATGTATTTTTTGTACCATTTCTACAGGAGTTTATGCAACTTTAACGTGGCATTTTGTTGAGAGATTTTTTTTTTTTAAATAACATGAAAATGAAAATGAACATCTAGAACGTTGTACATTTTTTTAATAGAAAAATTGGGGGGAAAAAAGGAATAGATTCTTTCAATAGAATTATAATAGAACTGCAATAGAATTTCTCAGATCAATCACTAGGTTTTTCTATTAAATTTCTTCATACATGAGGGGAATTCAATTGTCAAGGGGTAAAACGTTTTTTTTTTTTATTTATGATGAATGCTTTTAGTTGTGAAATTATCTGGATACCATGAAAATTAATAAAAATCGGGGAAATTCGAGTAAAATTTAATGAATATTCACGTTTTGATTGAATACTCAATTTGGAATTTCATGATTTTTTATTTCTAAATAAAATTTGTTCTCGACCAGTTTACATCAATTCCACATAATTCCCTTACGTTTTACCCCTCCACTCCTGAATTCCTCTCCTCCTCACCCATGTTAATAATTCCCAACCAACTTCAACAAACAAACAAACTCTCCCATAAACTACAAATTAGTATCAACAAGCGTGGCCCTCACTAATTTTTCAAAAATCCTCGAGCTGATTATTCTCGTATTACTTATCAATCCACCGTGTTAACTTAATCATCATCGGCTTTCATACACCTCTTCTTCTAGAGGGATATCTACTTGGGTATTGGGATTTGACTGGGGGGTTGTGTTAACGTGCCGCCGCATATATTTCATTGATAAATATCTAACCTGCAGTGGACTGCTGCCATTGCTGCCACTCGATGGCCCCATATCGTGGCCATGATGACTGTAATCGCTTCTCAATAAATTTTCGCTCTGCATTTTTCCCTTCAAACAGCCAATATACCTGTTGCAAAAATCCTTGCACAATTCTTGTACTTTTTCCAATTCCAGTAAGTGAATCCGCAGGACTTGAATGGCTTTGATCATCTGAAAATTTATTCAGTTTTTTTTTTATTTACTTGATGTTCACTTTTTCTCAATTGCTCTGAGCTTCAACTGTTCCTTCACCTCCTCCTCCTCCACCGCCACCTACCACCACCCCACGCTCCCACCCCCCGCAGCCCCTTGAAAGAATGAAAGAGAAAGAATATGGAATACGTCTTACCAAGCCGTCAATCTCGGGGTCATTTATAAGAAATGGCTTTCGGTCTCTTTCTTGGTGCTGGACAAAAGCTTGTATGTCCATGTTGAAGCTTTCTGATGTGGAATTGTCGGAGCTTTGTGTTGCTTGCTCGCATCTTTCGAATAGTAATGCTAGCAGTGGAAATAATGGATGTTTGTAGACAGCCCGTTTGTCAGCCTCAAACTGCGCCTGATCCTGATGTGCTGTATAGTCGGCAACCCCGCTTGCAGGGTCCTGATCATAGCCAGGAGTCACCATTGCTAGCGCCACGGCCGTACTACCCTCTTGCATCCTATCATTCCTCCGTTACTACTTCCATCGTTCGCCGATGATTTTTCAGGATCGATTATTTCGCGACAGACCTGGAGAAATATTTTTTTATTATTTTATTACGTTATTTTTTATTTATTTGTCAACTAGTGAGATGAATAATTTTCTTTTCAACAGAGATAATTCAATGGAAATCGGAAATGAAATTTTTTTTTTCTGTACATCTTATTCTATTGAGATTTTTTTTTATAGAAATTCTTTGGCTCAAACTTGTCAAATTTTTTGTGTTCCATTTTTTAAAAAAAGTGCAGAAAAGCTTTAATAGAATCGCCCAAAAATATAAATTTTAATAGAAACCCACTAGCAATTTCCATTGAATCCGCTAGATTTTTCTCCCACATTTTTTCGCGCGTGAAATCCCAAAAACTCGCAAAAACTCGTCCCAAAGTCAATTCGACATTTCATTTCCCGCCCCATAGACTAATGTAAACACGTATACATATATTCGGGCATTATGAAAGCTCAGCGGAACTTCGCCTCCATTTTTCCATCCCGTGTAGCTCTCCCAACACTGAAAGTAGCTTTAACTCCAGGGATGCGGATCAGGCACAGACCGCGAAGCACCGAACAAGCGCCACTGCATTTAAATGTCATCATTAGACGGCGGCCCTCCGCCGCCCTTCGCCGCCGTCTCCTAGCGCAACCCACCCCCCGCTGTCAGACCTTCATGTTCCTTCTCTCTTCTCCTCGTTACGCCTGTGATAGTCCCCGCGCGATTCTTCACCATCGTCCCCTCGTTTCCCTCGAATTTCCAAAGCCCCCTCCCCCAGAGAATGCCCTCTCCTCTCGTATCCTTTCCTCTTGGCCACAACTCCGAGAACCCGTGCGATTCAACATGAATAAATGAAGCGTTGCGCCACTGACGAAGGGTTGTCTCAGTAAAAAACAATGTATCGGGTGAATATAAAAAATAATTGGATTTAATAATAAATGGAAAATAGAAATTAAAGGATAGTTTTAAATTCTCAGAAATGATCCACTTGAAATTATTATTCCACTTACAAATTTATTCTGAAAAACCATTTGAGTGAAAAAATAGCGCATGAGATTAATTTAAAAATAAATCATTTCTCTTACTTTCGACATGCAGATGAGATTTTTTTTTACAGACTATTGTTGTAATAGAGCGATACGTGCACCTATCCATTATACCCACCCCATTTCACTAGATACTGCAAGGATGATGAAACATCAAACCGGCACTCCCATCAACTCCTATTGGATGATTCCATCCAATCATGAAAAAAATAGACCTCAAGATCGAAAATTTCGATATAACTAGCCACCACTTATCCAGTATCATGGGTATCAGGGATTAACCGAGAATCTATGGAAATCTCCAACAACAAGTCCATTAAGTGTCTCAGAATCATAGAGAAAAAATAATTCACCAACTAAATATATTGCTCTCCATTATTAACAACATTCAATATTCAATTGTGACCCTTGTGACCCTTGAAAAATTGCAATTAGCAATTAGCGATCGTGACCTTTTTTCATAAATAATTTATGAACAATAAATTTTCCATTCTAGGAAATTTTTTTAAAAAATCAAAATCACGCCAAAAATCTAAAACAAGTGTCTATAAGAAAAATTTAATTCTTTTAAAAATCAATGATGATATGGTTATCGGTCTTTGCAGTGATGAAGTAAACTCAATAGAATAACTAAAGTGTTATCTTTTCAAAAAATGCCAGACATTTCAGCTGCACATTGACACCATCTTCAGGGGCCAATAACCATATCATCATTAATATCATCGCTCAGAAAAAAACAACGCCTTCACTTAAAAATCAATGATAATTGGATTGAAATAAGAAGATCGAACCGGACGAAAAATGCGGGACAGACAGGCTGAAAGAGGATATGAAGATGAAGATCAGGGTGGGAATGGAAAAGGGCAAGAGACACCGGGAGAAGTGGCTGGCTCCTCCGGGTGCGAGGCGGTAGGTGCCGACGAAAAAAGAGCAAAAAGTTACAGAGAGAAAAAAAAAGAAAAAAAAAGAAAGAACTGGCTATACAACACGTTGCCGAGCGCCATTACTCGCAAGTGGCGCTTCCAAAGCATATCTTTCCGGGCAAACCCGATATTTATCGTCGCACCGTCATCTCTGGACTTTTCATTTAAAAATATTATCGCTGACTCCATTGCTGAGTTTCGATAGTATTTTTTCGAATAAAAGCTCCAGGAGTTATAATATAACGAGGAGTCTTTTCTCGGTGGGCAGAGTTTGGATAAAACTTTCAAATACATTTTTCCCTTTTTTCTTATTCTCCTTTCTTTATCATCTTCCGTAGGCCACGTACATTTACCCCATCCCACTGGCGCACATAATATTGCTTTTGGATTCTTCGAGAGCCGCGGTATTTTGACGCAGCTGTTGCCCCTCCACCCCGGGAAGAAGTATGCCAGACGCGTAACGAAAACCACCCCTCGATGCTTTACTTGTTCAATGTCAAATGAGATATGAAAGGGGAATGGGTTCATGATTAGTTTGGGGAGGGGGGGGGGGAGAGATTAATTGTTGCAGGTATAATTAATTGATATTTATTCCTTGTGCAAAAGATATTGTTGAATGTNGGGGGGGGGGGGGGGGAGAGATTAATTGTTGCAGGTATAATTAATTGATATTTATTCCTTGTGCAAAAGATATTGTTGAATGTTGCATCCCTCAAAAACGACGAGTACAATATTATTTAAGTTAGAAATAATTAATTAATTGAGTAATTAATTTTTATAATGGAAATACAGTGGAGTTTGCCCTTTCGGGGCTCGAGATTCGGAGAACAAAAAGCTAAAGGTTGCCCCCTTCTTCCTTACGCGCAAGGGGCGTGCTTTGCAAGAGAGACAACGTGACTACTCAAGCGAGAACGGGTGAAATTGCAATAGCATTTTCGCAATAGTATAATCTCGATGGTATTCTCCAAAATGTGAGATGTTATAAAATGAAATTGGCTCATCTTACTCTATAAATTCACAAAAAAATCCCAATTTTACCCCAGTTTGATAACATCAATAATTCTCCCCCTAAGGCAGAACACTCAAGAGCAATAGACGAAATAAAATGCTAAATTAAGATAAATTCATCCTCCGGCCCTCTCCCACCCCAACAGAACTAAGATCTTACCTCTCGCAATGTCAGACCCAATATCACCCTATTATCATCACAAAGGCCCCGAAATATTTGAGTCCACGTGGTTCAAGTATTCGCCAAGACACCACTGTCATCCATCCCACAAGCCTTTCGATCTCCCTACACCGAGAGAAATTTCAGATTTCACTGAAAATTCAATGTAATTTGGCACTGAACATTCATATTAGATTAGAAATTCAAATAAATTAAGGAATTCTCGTCTTTATGCTGTTTAAAATTCTGGAATTTTCCTGAATTTTCAGTCAAGTATTACAATTTTGTGCAGTACAATTTTTTTCAATACACCTGAGGAATATTATAAAACATGACTAGAATCTTTAAAAAAAACTTATTTTCAAGGGATATACCTTAAATCTCAGAGTGTTTGCGCTCAACGGAACTAGAATAAATTCTCCATTATCACCACCGTTCCGGGTGACATGATGAATATATTACATACCGAAACACTGAAAATCGAAGATTGTCCAATTGATACAATTGCCCTCTTTAAAATATTCTTCGAAGAATACTGTAAAACCACGGATCTTACTCGGGCCACGTGAGTTGCGTCTCTAGGGAAATTGAAGAAAGAATTGAAGAAAAATTACTCGTCTCAAGTAAATACGTTTCAGATATTAGATTTTTTTCTCAGTGTAATGGCAAATTCCTAATCAGTAATCACTTTATTTTTCCCCTCCGACCCGTCAGTCGAACGTCAATACCGCCCCCACACGTCTCCACATTCGTCGGACACGCACTCCTCACCGGATCCTCTCTCTCTCGGCACCCGATCACCGAACACCTCGTAATTGTGTACAAAACTCAAAGGATACCGGCGACAGTGGCCACGGAAGGTGAAAATCGCCGACATCAAACAGCCCCGAGTGAAGAAGGAGACAAAAGCCAGTTCTCTGTCTGGCTCATGCATTGCCTGTGACCAATGCCTGCCTTCATCCTGTCCCTGCGCACTGCCGTCCTTATAAAAATTCTTTAAATTCAGGGGATGAAAGAAACGCCGCTGGGGAAAAATCAACTCCATTCATTCGATCGTATCTCAACGATTGGCCAATTTCTCGCGCAAATCATATCGATTTATTATCAGGGGAGGGATATTTCCGATTAATTGGCGATATATTGACATGGCAATGCTATTCCAAATGTTTGAAAAATACAATGCGGTGAAAAAGAGAGGAGCCGTCGTGTTATACTGATCAGGACCCTTCAACCACCCACTTCATCTACGACAGAGCGCACGCTCCATAGGTCTGATTGCCCTGCACTTGACGCTCTCCCTCTTTGTTTTTGTTAACTCTGTCATGAATGGATATTTCTGGTTGACTTGAACTTTATTCTATTATTATTATTTTAATGGGCTTTTATGCGATGTGTACTGCTAATATTTTTGACGAAAATTTATTAGTACACATCGCATTCTGATTGAAAAGTGAAAATTTTAGCTCAATTATGCTATGGAAATTCAATAGTAATGAGAAAAAATCAGATGAATATATCTTCCAGTCGGCAATCACTTGAAAATTAGGGGTAACTAATTTAACTAATTTTTCTCTCAGTGGAGCGTGGACTCATTGGCTTTATCAATTCCGTATGTTAATTATCTCATTGAAAGCTCACGTCCACTTGTTTTGAATTGCATAATACAAATGTAAGTAATTTGTAGTAAAGGAAATCGTAATTTTTCATAACATAATATTTAGCAAATAACAGTGGCTGTTTATATCAAATATTATAGTTCTTTGATTCAATTTCGTGTTTAATACATCAATTCATATCTTTACATTTCATCCCTCGCTCGTCCTGAGGGGATGTTGGATACCCCAGGGCATTTAACAATCGTTTCTCTCTCTCTCTCTCTCTCTCTCTCTCTCTCTCTCTCTCTCTCAACTAACCTATAATTTTATACCGGCGCGTTTAATTGTCCGATTGACTCGTGCGCAACTCAATGTACAAATAAAATACCTATACAAATATGGAATAAAATGTGTTTGTGTTTGAACAGATGATGAGTCGCGCAATCGTCGTAATCCAGCGAATTTTCAACCCAGCCGAACAGAATTGCATTATCGATTGGCAATCAACGGGCTACACTTAACTTGAATTTACATGCGTGCATGCAGCCGCTGGGGAGATTTTTCTTTTTGTAATTGATGAAAATTTCAGGGTGATGTATCGAATGATTGGTGATTCTTGAGTGAATGGAGCAGATTCCATTGGAGAGGCGATGAGTAATCGATTGATGATTTATTAAATGGTAATTTCATTATGGAGACGAGTAGAGGGGATTGCCTGGTTATACTCATCGGGTTCGTTAATTAAATATGACGCGGTTCGATTCGAAAGATTTATTTTTATTATATCTTCAATTGGAGATGGGGGAGGAGGATTTTATTCAATCGGGGATATCACCGGTTTGAGTGACGCGATTGAGTGAGCGAGTTACATAATTAATATTCAATTTCTTCAATAAACGGGTGTATTTCGCAAAAATAATATAATACTGATAGTTTAAATTTCCAATTGATGATGAATCAATCAATATTTCATAATATAGAACTGTAAATTTTCCATTAAGCGAATATTTCTAATTTCTTAAAAGGGATTATCGATTAACCAAATAATCGGCAATCTATCTACCTAAATTATTGGTTAATAAAATAATTTCAAAGTTGAATATTTAAACTGATAATTAAAAGTTTCAGAGTAATGTTAACTAATTGACGGCTTCAAAATTTAATGGTAAATATGATTTATGAATTAAGTGGTTATCCCTGGCTCTGAGGGTCAAACAATCATGCGTACAAACGTTTTTTAAATGTGAACAAGTTTGTACCTATATGATCCTCGTAATTCCAGTCTTTCGCTAGTTTAAGTTCCTTAAAAGATGACGGAGAATGATTTTCTTCAATTATTAATATCTCTACATCAATATATGCGATTTGAACAAGTCAAAGCCCATTTTAGACCCCTAAAAAATACCTTAAAAAGGAAAAAAAGGCAAAATTTCACTCTGCCAATCTCCACTTATTTTAGTTTGAAACCCGTTAATTTTCTGCATTGTCGGTATTCGTTCCTAATTAATCTGTTATCAATTGATTAATGGTGTGAATGACCGGAATTGAATTGGAGCGTTGGAATCCGGCTGATGACGCCTGGCCATTTTCATTCCGCGGAATAAACAAATAAACTCCTATATATCCATTTGAGACGTTTGAGACAGAAAGCAATAAAGACAGAATACACCCAGACCTAACCTCAATTACCATTCGATACGATCGACACTTTCGGAGTGACGTTAAACGATATTAAAATGAGAGAATATTTACTGATGAATTCTTACCTTTCGATCCCTCGCCAGATTCAACGTATTTCCAATGATGTTGCAATGTTGTTTGATCGAGTAAAATCACTTGATACAAATGTGTCTCTGTTTATGTCGAACGAATTTGGCGACAAGTGAAATTCCCCTGGACACCACCGTGGGGTGTGAAGGATGGCTTTGCCCAACGGGTCAGCGACGCACTACCAAATATTTTAGCTGCCAAAAAAGATTCACCGATGGGTAATCTTCCCCACGTGTATGTGTATCACGATGATGAATAATTAAATTTCGGGAAGAACTGGAGACACTCGATTTTATCACAATTAAACCACTGGCTCAGAGGATTAATGCTTTTGCTCTCAAACACTGGCGACACTTGGCATCTATTTATGACGATATAATAAATTAATGTAATTGCAACATTTTTTTTTTCAACACTGCCGCGCCGCTCTGCCCCCACGTACAGACCGTTCAACACCTCTTCCTTCCACCACACACCACCACGACCACCGCCAGTCACCACTGTCTCTCTCGTCCTCTTTTGTGACGTCATCGATTCAATACTTTTTCGATGGTGGCTTTTCGGGGTGGGAGGCTTTGGGAACAGAGCTGCCAACTGGGGACGTCTATGAGTCCCTGCCTTCATTTTCAAAGATGAAAACAAATTATGAATTAATCCAAAAACATGTGAGTTATGGAAAACATTTGAAATGGGAACATTTATGGAAAATTAATCGCAAGCACAGTTAATTTATTAATGCATTCGGAGAACAAGAGTGAAAGTTTTTGATTTTTTTTTGCGGACGGATTTACCACCGAGAATGAGAAAAATTCACGAAACGGAACGGTGGATTGATCATCCGTCGTCAAACGCGGAACCTTTGTCACCGTTACAAGATCTAGGGAAGTCAGCACGATGGCAACGCTGTTAGCGGTTATTTTTGAATCTCCTTTTATCTTCATTTCATTCTGCGCCATTTGGCTTTTATGCGCGTTTTTATTCACATTGAGTAAAGGTTTTTTAAACATTTATTCAATGTAGAAAATTTCCCTTTTCCTGCCACTCAAATATGTCGGCAAGTCCATTGAATTTTCAGTGAAATTTGAAATTTCATTATTTTTCCCCCCAAACCGCATATAAAAACCGTCATTTGAAATGCCAATTAAAGATGTTATTTCGACTGGTATATTTACATTTGGTATTACCCCTGGGCATTCTGTATTATTCGTCTATCTCCGCATTTTTTTCTTTGTCCACTAATAATTATTCAATTGCATCCCTGCTCATATTCATTTGAAGAATCAAACAAAAAAAGTTGAACCGCTAAATTCCTATAGAAAATTTATCAATAGAATAAAATAGAATTGCATACAAGAATCGAATTCTATAGAATATTTTCCATTGAATATTTCTGCTGAAAAAAAATTAATCAAAAGTCACTATGAAAATTTTTTCTACATTTTGAAAAATCACATATTTTCGCTCGGGGTTGTTGGGTCTCCACGTCCAGGGAATGCCAGCTAATCATATCAATAATCTCAGCTCCTGATAAAAACAGTCCGAATGGTGTTAACATAACTCACCTGTGCCGAACAAACCGCGGATGAGTAATACTCCGGTATCTTATCGCCGTGACCACGTTATCTGGGTGTACCTGATGGATACACACAACGATCCGTTTTCTTTCACATTACAATAGTTGAGAGGCTTTAACTGTGAGAGCACAATGAATCGTTTTCTGGGAATTACGTTTCTCTTCGTTTTAGTTGTTTGCACTTCGCAGGATAATGGAACTATTGGAAGGACGAAAGAAGGAGTCACCGAGGCATCGCAGGGCAACACCGTGACTACCTCCGGGCCAATTAATAACTCGAGTATTTGTCAAACCTGCGATTGCAAAGGTACGTTTCATTTGATACTATTTTTATTGGTTGGTGAAGGAAGAATGAAGTTTAGTCTACTTGAGAAGAGGTCAGTTTTTGGGGAATATCTTATTATAGAACATATGAGGAGATGGAGGCATTTTTATGAGGATTTTTTTATTGCAGACTAAAGTGTATGTACGTCTTCTTATCAAAATTCCACTATCTGCCTTAGATTTTAAGATATTCTTCCAAGCGTTATTGCTGCAGTGATTCACTAGACTGAATCATTATGAATAAAGAAAAAAAATTACTTGTGAATATAAATAATAATTTACGCAATTGAAAATCATACAAAACCATAACCATAGAATTAATTTATATGTTAAATAATGAATACTTTATCTTTATTTGATTAAAAAAAAAAATTTTCATCTGTCTAATGAGAATTTATATCGAGAATTGTGCAAGTTTGTCTTTTATGGAATCATGGATTCTATGATGAGGAATAAAAGAATATGTAGGCGTCGCAAACATATAATTTCCTATAGAAAACTTGTCAAGAGAATAAAAACCTTTGAATTTCTTCCACTAAATACCCATTAGAAAATTGCAGGGAATTGCTACCAGAATCCTTCACAAAATATTGAATAATGAATTTTTACTAATATTAGTCATCATTGCTGTGTGATCTCAGCCGATGCAATCAACTGCACAGCTCGCGGATTAGATAACAATTTGGCGGATGCCGTGTGGCCAGCGTCAGTCTTGAAATCCGTCAGCCTCGAGGGCAACAGCATAGTTCACCTCAACAAGTTTCCAAACGTCACGATCGAAAAATTGATCCTGAGTAAGAATAAAATCACTAAGATCGATGACGCGGTCTTCATTGCCATAAAAAATCTCACCGAGCTCGATCTGAGTCACAATCACCTCACGTCCAGTATTCTGAGGCCGAAGATATTCCAGGTAAGGTCTCGGAGATATTCGAGGCAATGGAGTAATTTTTATTTTTTACCTTTTATCAGTGATAACACTGTCCCTGAATGCTATTTTTAATTCAAAAGCAGAGGTGGCCATCAATATTACAATTCGTCAGTATTAAAAGAATTGCTAGCTTACATTGGCAAAGGTTTTAATATACTCGTCGAAATTTAAAAATAGCAAAATCATTGAAATACAAATTTCCGATTGATAATGAATTAAATAAATGATAATATGGACCATAAATTTTCTGTAACTGTCAATTAATTAAGAGTGATATTAACGGATTGACTACTTCAAAAATTTAACAGTAATTCTGATTTATGGATATGGATATTGTCCCTGTTCTACAGTCATTATTTCCTCTGTTCTCAAGGGACACTTTTCACTGAATGAGTGGGAACCCCTGGAGAAACTCCGGATATTGAATCTGGGACACAATAATTTTCACACGCTTAATCAAGATCTTTTTGAACACATTACGGATCTCAAAGTTTTGAGCCTCAGTGGCAATCCATTGTCTATGATTGATCATAGCACTCTTGATGCTATCGGGGATCTCATTAATCTTGAGGAATTGGACTTGAGCTATTGCGATCTCCAGGAACTTCCGGACACTGTCTTCCATGTGCCCAAGTAATTTCCACAATATTTCCATTTTTTTTCTCAATCAATAGAACTAATAATTTTTTGAAAATTTTCACCGAGTGATAGTTACATTTTCTGATTTTAATTCTAATTCCTCATTTATAATTTCGAGATATCGACATTTTCTTTTTGTTAAAAACATGAGAAAAATATACATTATAAATGATAAAAAATGAAAAAAAGTTGATGAATAAATTAAAATCCAATCCATTGTTTTATAAATCAATTAATTAATTTTTAATTTATCACTATTTTATTCAGAGATACCCTGAAACTTTTGTACTTGAACGGCAATCGCTTCACCGTGGTGCCTCGTGCCCTGCAAGACGCAACGGCACTCGAATACTTGAATATGAATGAGAATCCGATAAAAATATTAGGGGAGTTGAATTCATTCCCACATCTTCCACATTTGAAGGATCTGAGACTTCGTTCGATGCCGGAGCTGACAGCGGTGAGAGCCGGTGCATTCTCAACACTCGAGTCACTCGAGTATCTTTACTTGGACGATTGTCGAAAGCTCAGCACCATCAACGAGGATGCTTTAGTTAAACATGTGAGCATTATTTTATACATATCGCCGGGGTACAGCCAAACGTACGACTCTTTGACTTTACGACGACGAGGGAAAATTTTTTTTTGTGTATGAAAATTGACTTTATAATGTATCTTATTGAATTTTCCCATCATAACTTTGTTGAAATCGAAAAGATATAATTAAAAAAAAAAAGATGAATAAGAGATTTTTTATGCCTAAAAAAATCAATAATTATTAATTATCCATTTGCTTTCACCAGGAGAAAGCTGGAAAAAAGGCTTTCTGTTTTTTCGTAATAAATTTCGCAATTTTCCTTCCCTCCTGAGATTATATCCGCAAATAAATCTGTTGATTCGTCCTGAGCTCATCTCCTCTTACACAATTGTTGAAATAATCAAGTAATAACGACATTTTTCTCATATTCCATTACAGACCAATCACGTGGCGATATGGCCGCCTCTCAAAGGCCTCGATATTTCCGATAATGCCCTGGAGTATATTCCCGCAACTCTCCTGGGCCGATGGGATAAATTAGAACAATTAGATCTCAGTAACAATCAGTGGGGCTGCAACTGCGATAATCAGTTTCTCGTAAATATCTTATCTTCTTCAACCCTTCTAGCATTAAAAAATAGGATAGCATTAAAAAAACCTAGTGCAAAAATTTTCCTTCTTTTTCTTAAATAAGGATTGAATAAGGAAAATTTAAACAAATATATAAAAAATTCAATCTTTTTTGAAGACTTTCTCTATTTTCTGAAATTGCTCAGCTCAAAAAATGGAAAAAAAAACTGTTAATTTTTTCTTCTATATTCAATATTTTTATTAAAATAAATAAAGAATAGAATTCCGATAGAATCTGCCACACCATCCAAATCCAAGGAAAGAATGACAATAAGTATAAAAAAAATTGAATAGCAAAATCGAACGCTTTCCCTAAAAAATTCTGTCGCTTCTAGATAAGAATTCTCATCCAATGAAAAACCCAATGATAAATTATTTGTTTATCAGGCGAATGTCTATTCTAAATTATGCAGCAGATGTTAATTTATTAAAAGAAATTCTTGAAAAAATTTCTATGAAATATCTCCGGATTTTTTAATTCAAACTCTTGAACGTCAAGAAGTTGTAATGGAAAAGAAATGAAAATTCAATAGAATTTTTCTTAGGAAAAAGCACTAGCAAAAGCTTTTTCTATTAAATTTTGTCACGCGCGAAAATTTTAATCACGCGGTCTTGAAAAAATTGGCGTTTCAGGTGGGTAATCTCTTACCAAAACTGGGAAGGACTCTCCTCGGAGAGAAAGTCAAAAAGTTGTACTGCGCCTCACCCCCGGAGCACGCGGGTAAGACACTGATGTCTCTGTCGAATAGGAAACTTCGGTGTCCAGATTTGTATGGCGCACGTCCTGAGCGCGACGCGGCCCTCCTCGTGGGGCTAATGATTGGATTACTCATGGCCATTCCTATCGCAATGACATTCTTCCTTCTCTGGCGGCGTGGCTACTTCTTCTGCAGCGAGCAACATCCCGCGAGTTTCTCCAGAGCGTTTTACAAACGTGCATCGAATGACGATGATTTTTAGGGATACATACATTCATTTGTCTTTACGCAATTGACATTTACATCCAATCATCCAAATCATGAGAACAAAGGATCGAGCAGGATCAATTTTCATGGAACAAACAGGACATTTTGTGCTTTTAATTTTTTTATTTAAAATAATATGAATAATCAAGAATTTCGTTGTTTTCTTCTGAAGAAAATTGAGAAATTTTTGTAACAAATGTATTGTTTAAATGTATTGTTTTTTATCTACGATTTTTAAAATGAAAAAGCACTGAGAAAACAAAAGATTTCAAAAAATTACAATATGATATTCTGAATGAAAAAAAAAAAAAAACAACAACAACAACAGCAAAATGCTATTCTCAAAGAAGAAATATAAAACTGAAATGTAAACATATTCTTACACGAATTAATTAAAGTATTTTTAATAATAAAATAAAGAAATTCTTGACATTCTCTCCATTTATTACGCCTGCTCGAGAGCGTGTCAGCACGAAGATATGCCTAACGAGCGTCCGTTAAAAACGAGGAAAAAAAAACCCCAAACAGAAAGACGAGTACATCACTAACAAGTCTCAAGGGCTTTTTTCCGCTTATACGAAATTCGAGACTCCGGCTTTGCCGAACATACATTGTCCACGCAGTATAATGCAGTGGTGAGGGTGAAGCTTATGCCTCAGTCTGCTGTATACTCGCAATCTACCCAAAGGAAGAACCAATGCCTGGGACCAAGCGAATAGACACGCGCCAGTAATGCAATTACCCTAACGTTAATTTACTCAATAATCGCAGAGGTAAATTCGACTAAATGCCGGCACGCGCCATTCTCTGGGTTTAACGTCAGTTCAACGTCACTGGTTTGGATTTTTATTTTATACTACGGGGAACATTTCCAATTGCTGTGCAGAAAAGGAAACTTTTTGACATTTAGAAACTGTTAGAATTTAATTATTTAATGAAAATCAATTTATAGAAATTGAAAAGTATATATTTTTGAGTTTTTAATTGTCATTTTGGTAATGAATATTCATGTTTTTCATGTTATTGAAAATTTAAGTCATCAGTTGGGGAATTGTTGTATTGTCCTGCTCCTCAAAACTTTGGAATTTCACTGAAATTCGTGACACAATAATGTTGATACTTTCAAACCATTTATTTAAATAAAATGATGTAATTATCTCAAGGTATCGGAGGAGGACGAACGCGTGTTTGCATTGACTTACCTTGTTTTCTATCTGAATTACCAAAGTGGTGAATTGATCCATTTTGCGGAGCTGCCTGCTCCAAATTCGCCCTCCCACTGCAGCAACCCGGCCCGACATTTCCGTGCACGTGTGCCAAGTGACAAACTCGCAGAGACAATGGGATGGATGTCCGCATGCATGAACGTGCACTGAAGGCCGATGCACATGTCCTTGGAAGGTACATGTCCTCCGCAAAAAGTTAATTCAACCGAATCCTCCATTGTCTTTTGTCCCTCGTACTGTCCCAGGTTTCATTCGAAATATATTCCCTGACCGCTCACAAACACGAAATACAATCATCAGTGAATACTCTATCTGATTGAAATTCTAGTGAAAAACGTAATGAGTTGAGTAAAAATTGTCATATTCTGTGTGAAAGTTTCAGAGGAAATGAATATTTACTGAAAATAATCATCATTTTATCAATCAATTGATTTTCCTATTTTTTCCAACTTGTTATTTCAATTGTCAATGATCGACATTTCATGCATACATCATAATGTTCGTCTTTATAGACTTTCGTAAAGAAGATGACGTTAAAAATTATTATTCTTACTATCATTAATAGAAAATCGTACAATTCATACAATTGTTATCAATTTTTCTTCTCGAATTCCCTCCACTTTGAAGGATGTTCTGCGCCCTAGAACATCCTATTCAATTGTACCCCCAGCAGACATATATTCATCAAATTCGATAATACTAAATTTAAGAAAGCAAGGAACGAATAAAATATCAATTCCCAGAGTACTAAATTTACAATATTACAAAAAGTACAGTAAAAAAAAAACATCAATACTATTCCGCTCACTAAGAATAAACATACCCACGGAGCTACATCCGGCAAAAAACAATTGATGTAAACGAACCCTTGCTCAATCTATTCTATCCCTTGCTCAGAAATAAAATAGACGACTATTCAACTAATTAAAAATAAAAATGACGCATTTTCCACAAAAATTATTTTAAAAATCCCTCACCCAGCAAAATTATTTATTTGAATTAAATCAACTTTATTTCCATCAAATAGAGTTTATTCAACTTAAACAGGGACAGCCATATCTATAAATTATAATTATTGAAGTAATCATCAATTGAAATAATCAAATTTCGAATTATTCATTAATCAGTAATTGAGTTAGGAAGAAATCTTTTATAAGAAATTTAGTATCATCTATTTAATAGAAAATTTATAGTTCCATATTTCTAAATATTCAATTCATCATCAATTGGGAATTTAGATTAGTATATTTAAACCTTGATCAATGAAAGGTGGAAATTCTTTTAATACTGAAAAATGACAAGTCTGATGACCATATCACTGCACTCAAATAATAGTATTTTTTGTCACTAGGCGATGAAAATTTTTCTGGTAAATATGCATTTATATTGGTCAGAAAAGCCATTTTTCCGCGTGCTATAATTTTGACAATATTCATCGTCCCCCATAATTTTTCATTGTATCCCCAGCCATACATCCATCAAACTCAATAATATTAAATTCAATAAACCCGAGAACGAATGAAATCTCGATCCCCGGAATACTAAATTCGCAATATCACAAAAAATGCTGCATAAAAAATCCATCAATACTATTCCTCTATACCTAAGAATAAACATACCCACGCAGCTACATCCATGAAAAAACAAATAAAAGAGGCCACCATATCTTACTGAAGCTGGAACTGGAACTCTCACGCCCCCATCCAAGAGCTACAGATAAAGCGCCAGATATTGCTGAAAACCTCGCCAATACACATATTCGCGAATCCGCGATCGCCTGAGTTCACAGCTCAGGGGCTTTGTCGTTGCCACAGTAACCGTTGGTAGCTCGAGTTAACGCCCACTGTGTTGGTATGAGCCAATTGGAGTACAGTACACCGTTAAACCGTTGACGAATGGGGTAAGTCAGTCGGATGCGATGTGTCAACCCCTCATGGAGCCCGTTCCATTCTAGAGAATACCTATTCCTCTCCCCTCCCCGCCCCTAACGCTGGACTGAATAGAAAATGCCTCTCTTAGTTGGGGGTGCGAGGGAGATGGGGTGAGTGTAGACGAACGATGCCTCAATCAGCAGGTTGACGTACCGATAGGGGGTTAAACGGTGACCAGTGTCTAACATGGCTTTGTCAATGATAACACGTGTCAACAGTTCATTTCGGTGCTTTTGTTTATTATTCCTCTTTCATTGTTGTTTGTCAGGTAAAGTGGTGAGGGCATAGATTCCGATGAATATTGCTATCTATATGGTAATTTTAGGAACAAGTGAAGTAGAAAAAATCGGAACCAGTCAGACCGTGACGGTGAGTTGATCGGACTCGCGGAGAGTTTACAATTCTTTATTGGAGATTATTGGAAATTTTCAGTGTTTTAGTGACATTTTAGGTTTTGATTCTGTGCTTTCGTCTTGGATATTGACTCCAATGATATTTGTGATCTGATTACTGCATAAATTCCAGAACAGAGAGGACTCTAGTAAATAAATTCCTAAAACAGGATCGTGAAGGGTTTGAATTCACCTGAAAATTAAGTGATTTTAGTGACATTTCATGGCGTTCATCCCACGATATTGACCCATGTGGTGTCGGTATTCCAGGATTTATGATGTTTGTGTTCAGTGATGATTGAAAATTGAGTCGAAGAGGAGAATATTCTGTCGACTGGTTGTAAGATGATGCAGTCCACCTGTCAGCCGCACCAGGTGCCCCAGCCCAACGGCAGTTCTGCCAGCAGAACATCCTTCTTGATTGAGGATATTCTCAGTCGGGGGAGTGTTCATCAAGTTGGCCACAATCAGGGACAACATGTGCACCATCAGTTTGCTGCGGCGCATAATCATCATCACGGCCAGTATCAGCCGTTTGCCAGCCTTCTGCCGAGCTATTCGACGGGTCCGCCGCCGGCTGCCTTCTTCCTTGGACCACTCTTCGGCACCGCTGGCATGGGCGTCGGCGTTGTACCTGGTGTCAACGAACTTGCTGCTCTCAAACATTGCCGGCGGAGGAAAGCACGAACTGTGAGGATTGTTTTTTTTTTTTTTTTTTTTTTTTTTTTTTTTT